TTAAATAATTAGACTAGATAGGTGTTGATCACTCTAATTATTGTTGTGTTGATAAGTGCAAGCTCCAAAAGGAAAGTTGGTTTGCAAATAAGAATATTGTAGATTTAATAGGATTGGCGAATTGACAGGCTATCAGAAAGGAATATTGAGTCCCATAGATTCAACTATCAAGGAAAGATTAGTGAACAAGATGATCAACTACAAGGAAAGGAGAGATGAGTCCTACACTCCTACATTATTGACCCACAAATTAAAAACAAAAGAAAGATATTTATGGGATGCTTTTCTAGATTTAATAATATTGTAATTATTATAATTACTAGATTTTTTTAGATTCCTAATATAATATAGGAAACTTTATGTATACATACCCTTTGAATGTATGAAATGAACCAAGCTTTTTAGCTATTATCCAATTTTTTACATGGTATCAGAGCTCTAGGTCGGGGTCCCGAATTTTTACCTATTTCAACCAAATTTTCTTATTCTTATTTACTTTATTCTTCATATTTGAGAGTTCTAATTTTTCAAAAGCCCCAACCATTGTTTATGGTTAAAATCAGACCAATTTAATAAAAGGAGATCTCTAGGGTTTACAAATTTTGTATTATCTCAATGAAAGAAATTTCCTAAAGTTGTTTTAGATGAAAACTCCTTGAAAGAAAAAGAAAAACTTGGCCACTCAATTGAACCTTCTCTAGATCGTGAAAACATAAAATACACTCTTTGGGATGAAGAAGGGTTCATGATTGTGACATGGCTATTGAATTCTATGATGCTAGAAGTTATTAGACCTTGTTCCATACAATAGCAAATTAAGTCTTGGAAGCTGTTAGTGATACATACTTAACGGTTTAAGGATGCTAGGCTCAAATATGAAATCAAGGCAAAACTCTTAACAGTCAAACAATGGAACCTAATTTTCATTAAGTACATTAATGCAAGGAAGTTTTTCTAGTTAGAGTTAGATTATTATTAGGATATCAAGATGAAATAATTTAAACCCTTTCTTAATTAAACCTTTTCCTTTTATGGGCTGATGATGGAAGAAGAATAATAATGTTGGATATTCTTGATGTAGAATGGTTAGCTATGACAATCAATTAAACTTAAAAGAGAATGATTGATTGCCACTGAACTTACCAAGGATGAGGGCATAAATTTTATAAGAAATCCAACCGTGATGCAACTATTGCTAGAGTAAGGGGCATTATAAAAAAAAATTATTGGGAGCTTCATGGAAGTTCTTAAGTCCATGTTGGATACAAATAAAGTCAATGAAACGGATTGACTTATTTTATTAGAGTCAGTAGGGCTCCATGATGTGAAACTACCAGGAATTAACAAGAAATTAAGAAGAGCAATTGTTTAAAACTTCCCAATATAAACTGTCGTTTACAACAAAGAAAGATTTTAGAAATTCATAGCTTTCAACTTGCTTAGGCAAAGAAGTACACTTTAGATTAACCATGACAATTCGATCAAACTTCAAAGACGAGTAAGTTTTATGAGCGCATAACAAAATCCAAAATTTAATAATGAGAGGTTCACCTTGACGACCTTCTCACTCATTCACTCCTGTGGTTAGCCGAAGAAGATGCTCCACACTAGAAAAGGGATCACCACTAGGGAGAAGGAGCCTAAGAACTTTGTTGACGGAAAGGTAGCTGGCGACTGATGGATTGGTGGACGTCCCACGATTATCCATGGTATAGTTGGGAGGTGTTCCTCAATTGATGGTGCTAACGTAAAGATGATGCGGTCAATGTAGCCTTCCACGGAGTCGTCGACGTCCGAATTTAAATCGAAGAATGGAGATCGGAGGATGTTGGTTCGGCCTTGAGAGCCATATGTGAACCCGTGGTCGACTTCAGGGTTGGCCATCCATGAACATGTGAGTGTTCTCTTCTGTGCGCCTTGGAGGAGCCTATGGCTTGGGGTTGGGTTGGGTGAGGGGACGGCTAGGGTTAGGGGAATTTGGGTTAATAAATCCTCTTTAAAGTCAATTACCAAGGAGGATAATCAAATTAAGAGAATTAATTAGGGTGGAGGAAAGGGATTATAATTCAAATTTTGAATTCAAAAATTGGGCAAGGACAGGGCTGGCGGCATAGTGAGAAGAGGGAGAGAGATTGGGAAGGGTTTTATAGTTTCCTAATGCACTATTAGTAATTAGGAAAGAAATAGAAATAACCAATCTAATTTAATATCAAATTAGATTCCAATCTTAAAACTTTCCTAATTTAGCTTCCTTAATTTAGGAAAGTATTTGAAATTAAAAATTTGAATTTCAAATTATTTAAATCTTTTCCAAACCAATTAGGCTATTTTAGGTTGGTGTTAATGATGATTAATTTCATCATCAATGGGAAATAGGAAGAGGGGTGGCCGGCGGTGGGGCTAGGGGCTAGCTAGGCCGGTGGTTTGGGCATGTGGGTGGGGTGGCCGACGGTGTGGGGGTGGGGTGAGGGGTGGCCGGCTTAGAGAGGGAGATTGGGGAAGAGGCCGGCCAGTGGGAAGGTGGGTTGGATTGGCCGGTGGTGGTGGAAGGGAGGACAAGGTGGCCGTGATAGGGAAAGGAAAACGAAGAACCGTGAGTCCCAGAATCCACCGGCGGCTGACGGGTATTACCTGGCCCTCTCCTAGGGTTAATTTTGTCAAGAACTAACAAAGAGATCAAGCAAGAAAAGATGTAATTTTATTCATAATCATCGTCCTTTTACAATAGAAGATGCCACAATATATAAGCCTAGAAAATAAAATAACAATGACTCAAATGCTTCTTGGGCTACAACTCAAACAATCTCAAAAGAAAGGTACAAACATAATTAGCATATAAATAAACTACAATATATAAATGCATCAAAAATAAAGATTGTGAATCGTAGCCATCGTTCTATGATTCCTATGTTGATAGACTTGTCGATATCGTCTGTCGATGTCCTCATCACTCAACTAAGGAAAAATTAGTAGGTTATGCAATTTTCTTAATTTTCATAAAAAAGCCATTTAGGTCATGCTCCCTAGTTCTAAGTGGTAAACCTCTAATCTTTGTGTTTCTTCTGCTTTAAATGGTTTTGTAACACAGGGTAGGCTCAAGTGCCATAGAGCATATGATAAATTTTGCCAACATCTTTTAAACTTACCAGTCTTTACAAATAATAATAAAAAATGAAGTCAATGGCTTCTTATCCACCATTGTGGTGAGTGTACTCATTTCTCTTTCATTCTCTCCTAACAATCTACTATATGTCCTTAACCTTGTTGTAAGTCTTTTGCTATTCATAAAATAACCAAACATTAAAACTATAGGTTGATATTCTTTGATAATTATTGTGTTTTTAGGACCTAACTATGAGAAAGATGATCAAACAAGCTAGGGAAACAGATGTGCTATATCAACTTGAAGTCAATAATGGTCATGATATTACTCTTATTTCTTCTTTATGTTTATGTAAAACAAAAATAATATTTGGGTTCATCATTATGGTTCAAGGCATTCATCAATTAATAATTTAAAATGTATGTTTCTTTCATTATTCAAAGATGTTGACATTGAAAATTTTTTATTTTGAAACTTGTGACTGGTGAGATTGCTAAATATTATGGATCACCCTTTCTTTTAAGCGAATTATAATATTTTACTCCTTTCATGTTCATCCACTACGATATTCGAGGGCTCTGAAAGATCCCTAATATCTCTAGAGCCAGAGGATTTGTAACATATATTGATGATTGTACTTGAATAACAATACTATAGTTTACTAAACAAAAATGATGCTAGTTATATTCTCTCAACCTTTATCGTCTTGATAAAAATTTAATTTGTATTGAGTATTAACAAAAGGCATGACATATAGCATGGGTAAATATTTAAACTAAACAGTGTTTCATTTTTTTCAACAAAGAAAACGTTTTTCATTCGTCCTGTTATCACCCCACAACAAGATGAGGTTTCAAAAATGAAAATAGACACCTGGATAGTACTATGGCCTTCTCTTTCAAAATCAACACCCGACCTTCACAGATTTGATTAACAAATTATCCTTTAGGGATGTTAGTTTTAAAAGCCCTCTAAATTATCTTATTGAAAATTTTCCAAAAAAATTTCTCCACAAAATTTCTCCTAAATTATTTGTTTGTTTTATGTACGCATTCATAAGCGACAACAGGATAAATTGAATCCTTAAGTATTAAGTGTGTTTTCTTATGATATTCTTCCACACAAAGGGTCGTAAAAGCTATCAAAAAATTACTTCTTTTCAAAGATGTTATATTTAATGAAAATAAGATCTTATTTACCCAGTCTTCTGGGGAGAACAATCAACTTGATGAAGGACAAAGCCAATCCAAACACTTTTGCAAATGTTAGTAGGAAGTTAGATTTTGTTAAATTTTTAAACTTATATTCCTGAAATATATTCTTTTTTAACTCCATGCATTAATTTAACTTCAATTTCCATCACTTTTAACTATTAGACTTTTTGAGCGCCGTTTTAAAAAGTTCAGGACAAAATCAGATTTTTTATAGTCTAAGGCTAAAATGGCCTTTCACTAAATAGTCAGGGGACTATTTTTGTCATCTTCTCTTTTTTATTGTTTAATTTTGAAATTTGCTTGGTGGTCCATGTCAACGTCTAGATTTGATGTACATGCTCCATGCATGATACGAAGAATTCTAAACAATTAGCATCATATAAGATCTAGTCAAGTATGCCCAAGTCAAATGGTTGTTCAAATTAAGCATGTGCAAGGCTCATGTCACTTGTGTTTGGCATGCTTACAACACTATTTGTTGGAATAACCAAGTGCTTTTTATTAGTCCTTGATTGCCAGTGGTACAAAATGCTCATCATGAAATAAAATTTAAGTTTCTATTAGAAGGATGAACTTTTTATGTACTCTTGTACTAGTTGTTAATCATTTTTTGCCTAAAATTTTATTTAAGTCCATTTTATTTTGTTTTTTAGTTAACTGATGAGTATTTTCATGTAATGCAGATCCTGCTCTGGATGTGCTTATTGTAGTTCGTATTGTAGAGGTTCTTTATTCAGCATACAGAGCTGGCCATGTTTATATATCTCATATGATCGGGTTCTTGTTCACTCTAATAGCTCGCTATAAAGTTCATCCCGGTAAGTCCTAAACTTTTTCTTTTATAGTGTGCTTTCCAAAAATTTTCTTATAATTTTTTTAGTGTTTATGCACTACAATTCATTTGTCTTATTATATTGTGTAAAAATCCTTCGATGGGTTTGTTGACTTTCTTAGATTTCTGTTGTGTTTTTGTAATGTTCAATGATAGTGCTATGATTCTAAGTTTCTTTTGAGACATGTCCTGCAAAACAATTACCTCTTGTAGTAAAGGATTCAGGTATATGTATGAGCATAACAGGCGGTTGTTTATTTCGGACATAGGTGCCATTTCTTTAGGATTGGCCTTGAATAAAAGAAGGTTAAAACGTTTAGGATCGATTTCTCCCTATGTATTCGGATAGTGTTCTTATTTGAAATGTCACTCTTGCTTTCCTACCATCCCTAAGCTATGTGCATTCCAGTTATTGGCGTTTAAAGTCTTTGAAAAGTATAGAATTTAAGAGCAAGATATTAATTTATATATAGTATAGAATTAATTGACATATTTTTTGCATGACAATTTTGTACAACATGCCTACATAATGTCGCGCCCTTTTTTGACACCTTCAAGCCAAAAATGGGGCGTAATATAGGAGAAATTATTAGGTACGGAGTGCGGACGGGAGAACCGTCTGCACACTAGTATAAAACAGTGTTCGGTACCGTTCGGTACCACTCGGTACCGCTGGGTACCGCTCGGTACTCTGTGTCTGTGCAGACGGTTCTCACCCCGTTTGCACTCCGCACCTAATAATTTTTCGTAATATAGACAGACAATATATTCAAACGTATTTCTCACTAACACCCGTACTGATTTTACTAATTAGGATCGAATGAATGAAAAATAATTTGGCTTGATCATCACAAAATCTATATTACATTTCGTAATCATTCAATAAATCTGTTATAAGCATTGATATGGAACATGCATAAATAAAATAATCAAATTGAGTATAGATCTTATATATAACTTTAAATATAAATTCATATATACCCAAAGTCTTTAATTTATATCATGTACATCTCTTTTACTGTACATCCACAAATTATTCATCCATCCATAATACATAATACTAAGGAAATAGTAATTGTAATATTTGATGAACTAAATAATTCTAGTATAAAGTTCAAATATATAAGAAAGAATTAATAATATGTATGCCGGCCTTTTGAACTAACATAAGCATTTTTTATTATAGATATAGTTAATTTAGTGTAATAATAAACTTTAAAAAAAGATTAGCTTTAATACTTAAATAAATAAAATACTTATATTTAAACAAGGAGCATGAGTAATTGTAAGAAAATAAAGTGCTTCTCTCAAGTTTTAAATCATTAATTGCACTTTACTCATCAATTACTTGTATACAAGTTATTTCATTTTTATTTTCACCTTAATTATAATTAATTTCTTGAAAATGTTACAAATCATGTAGATTTTTGACACATTTATCATTGGTTGTCATCTAATCATTAATAAGATTTGTACAATCCAACATTACAATTATCAATGACCCATAGATTTCAAGGTTGACTTTCAATTTGTGGGTAACAAGCGGGGTAAAATACGACGTTTTGTAGAAGCTGTGATAAATATGTTGAATTTTGTGTTGGTTTGATTTTTTCGTGTAAACTTGTTAACTTAACTATTCGTAGCTCCCTTCTTTTGATTCACTATCAGTATTTCTCATTTGAACATTTGTATACTTATTTCTTCATCATGACTTTGAAATTCTATGATTGTTTTCTACTGTAAATATTACCGTACCATTTTGAATATTATAAGTATAATTTTTCATTTCTATTTTAAATATGTTTGTTCTTGCTTTTTACATTTCAGATTGGTTTGGCACCGAGTTGAAAGATGGAAATTTCTCAAGTAGGGAAGCTTTTAAGTTCCTTACTGGTTATGTCTCGTCATGCCTTTCTCTGATGGGAGACAATTCTTTGGTTTTGAAGCTGCTGTACAAGAACCTTTTTAATGAAATTGTAAGTCCACAAAAAAATTCTTGGTTTCCTGAAGGCATGTTTGATGTCATTTTTTATTTTTGCATTTTACTTTTATTTTTAAAATAACCGATTAAGAAGATTAAAAAAATTTTGTTAACTTGTTTTTTATTTCTAAAATCAAATTTAATTGTTTCTAAAATACTAAAAATGCATTTTAATGTTTTATTTTTTTCTGAAAACTTGTTTATTGCTTAAACAGAACTGATTAAGATGATAATAAAATAAACTTGTTAACTTGCTTTGTTATTTTCATATCCAATTTATTTGTTTCTAAAATACTAAAAACCCATTTTTGGTTATTTATTATCGCCGAAACTTTTTTATGATTTATTATAATTGTTTTTCTTGGATTTCTCCAATTTAGTTGATATGAGGCTTATTGTAGGTCAAGAAAATTTTTCAGTTTCCTTCACATTTATCCTAAACAATGTAATGTATAATAATTTCCTGATCTTGCAAGAAATACTTCACCAACCCATAAAATCTTCAAATATCACAACTACAAGGTAATTTTTTTAGTTAATCATTGTGTATTTTAAGAACTCATTATAGGGAAGACGATTGGGTCATTTTTGTCCTCCTTATAGAAGCCACTTGAGAGCATTATTATAGTTTAGGGCATCCTTCTTTCAAAGATATAAGTTACATATGATGACAATAAAGAAGATGAGTCTCATAAAAAAACTTGCTAAGGAATTTGAGATCAAACAGTTGAGTAAACCCGAATACTTGAAAATAATTTTTTTTAATCAAAATAAAAAATATTTCTTTCTCAATAAAAATATGTCCTGCTGAAAGAAATAGAAATGATTGATTGATTGATTGCAAGCCTTGTGAAACCTCAACTAATCAGGTAAAAAATTATATGATATAAGTTACATATGATGACAATAAAGAAGATGAGTCTCATAAAAAAACTTGCTAAGGAATTTGAGATCAAACAGTTGAGTAAACCCGAATACTTGAAAATAATTTTTTTTAATCAAAATAAAAAATATTTCTTTCTCAATAAAAATATGTCCTGCTGAAAGAAATAGAAATGATTGATTGATTGCAAGCCTTGTGAAACCTCAACTAAATCAGGTAAAAAATTATATGTAGATGAAGAAGGAAAAGATGTAGACATGGGACAATATCAAAAATTTGTTGAAAAATGATCTATCTATCTATCTAATACTCGTTCATGCATTGCATTTACAGTGAATCTTATTAGTCAATTTATGCACCAATGTAGATATTCTCACCTTCAAGTTGCTAGCATGATGCTCAGATACTTTCGATCAAGTCTCGATGTAGGAATTCTATATAAAAAGTATAATAGTTTATAAATTGAAGGATATATTGAAGTAGATTATGAGTGGACACAAGATTCGGGTTTGGAAACTATACAATTTTGGAAGGAATTCTTATAGTTTGGAGGAGCAAGAAACAATTTGTTTTTCAAGATCTAGAACTAAATTTAAATTTAGAGCTATTACCCAAGGAATTCACGAGCATAAGTAGATCAAAATTATTTTGGAAGATTTTAAAATTAAATGGAAAGGGCTAATGGATATGTCGTGACAATAAATTTGCATCAGCATTGATCATAATCCACTATAACATGATTGTACCAAACATGTGTAAGTGATAGAAATTTCATAAGAGAACTAAAAGTGGATTGATTGCACTCCATATGTACCATCAGAAAATCTACTTGTAAATATTCTTATCAAGAGACTGGAATCTCCTATTCAAAAATATAGTATGCAAAATTAGAAGGTTAGACTTGTCTCATTCAGCTTGAGGGGGAGTGTTGAAGGATTGTCGGACCCAAAAGTCAACCAATCTTGGTAGGATTTTTGAACTCACGATTAGGTGTTCTAACCATTTCATCTTATTGCCCTTAGATTGCAATCTATTTGCGTCCTTTTGTTAATTTATTTTTATTGTAAACTTTTTAGAGAAGTCTATAAATACTTTAAAACTTTGTATAGAATCAAGCAATAAAATTCGAAACATATTTTTTCTTCTTTTCTACTATCTCATACTCTTAAAATCAACACATTTTTATCAGTCTTATACAATATGTTATATAGGGTAATAAATCTGTCCAAAAACTTTATTGAAAGTTTATTCTAACGATGCATTGATGTAATTTTTTGTGCCGTACCATCTAAATATTCTGTGTCAGTTGGCTACTTTTTTTGGTGAAATTGTTTGGATGGTTTAGTAGCCCTCTTTATTTTTATCATTCATTGATCAAAGGCCTGATGTTGTTGTTGTTATATGTTCCACATGGACCCCACTTTTTCTTGTAATTATAAGAATCATACTTTATTGATTGTATTGTCATAATGGTTAAAAGGTGTCAACTTGATCCAAAAAACAAAATCGAGATAAAATAGAACATATTTTGTTGATAATTTTTGAAAAATATAAATGCAAAGTAAAAAAACTAAATAAGCTTTTGTTTCATGCTAGAACACAAACCAAGCAAGAACAAAATAAATAAAAAAAAAAAAAAAAAAAAAAAAAAAAAAAAAAAAAAAAAAAAAACCCAAATGGCCCCTTCGTTTATCTATCCCCTGATTCCAATCATCTCAATTCTTTTTTTTTTTCTCCTTTTTGATGATGAAATAAGAATTTAATTAATGGTATTAGCATATACTTCAGTTATGATTAATCTTCTTTTACTTGAGGGAAAGAAGTTCCTATGGTGTTTTTCCCTTATTTTCTGCAGTTGCAAAAACCATCTCTGGACAATACACATGGTATGCTGCAAATGATCATCACACTTGATATAAGACCCTCCATACTTTCAGGCGATAGTGTTGTTACTTTAAGCAAATGGCTTGCTGGATACATCACTGATGCTGCTTCTGTGAGTCTTATCTTTTCCATATTTGTAGCCTTTTTGGTATGCAGTTTAGCATATTTTTTCTTCAATGACCAGTTTTCAAGTAAATCATATTATGTTTATTGATTACTGATTGAGTTTCAGTTTGCTACCTTGTGGTGATTTGCATGTGCACTGTTGACATCTTATTGTTATTTTACATTTATAGTAATATTACGCAATTCATTCTAAAACTTTAGTAGTGGGAAAGGAATATATACTGGTTGGTCATGTGTCCACTTTCCATCTATACTGTTGAAATCGTATTGTTATTTTAAATTTATAAAATTATAGAATTCGTTACAAAACTCTAATTGTGGGAGCTAAAAAGCATGCATTGGTTGATTTTTTGTCTTCTAAATCTGCATATCATTCTTGATAAATGATTTTCTATTTTAAATAGTATTCTTTGGTAAATTACACTCTCTTTAACGTTATGATTTTCATTGGTTTGGTGCGAGGAATTTTTCGGATTGTTACTTGAGTTTTAACTTTTGAATTACCCATTTTTGTAGTCTTATGTGCATGATAAAGAAGCGTGAGTGAAAGAACAAGATTCCACTTGAGCAGACTATAGCCTAATAAAAAAGAGTGTTGATTACACTTGGGGCATTGATGTTGAGAGGTCTCTTCTGCTTTCCTCATGTTTTGCAACCCTACAATTGAATTCATAGTGTTGTTTCATATTTCATTTAGGTCCTCTTACTTAATACCGGCCTTCTAAATAGTGGCTACCATTAACATCTATTAAAAGTAGCCGTTAAGTAGGCTCACGATGATCTTACACGGACCATTAGTTGGATGGTGGATATTTCTACGTCTAAAAATGCTCTTACGGTTTATAAAATAGCAGTTTTTCCTCTTTGTTCCTTGAAAAGCCATGAAATATTTCATATAGGTCTGTAATTTCCTTTTCCCTCTTTATTCATTTAAATAACAGTTTCCCGGCTTTATAATTATAAAATCCATGAAGGAATTGAATTGCAAAAAAAATCTTATGTAATTTGAAGATCCTGAAAAAAATACTGGAATTGGATGTTAAAAGGCTAAAAAAAGGGAAATTCCTTATGTCAAGGTGACATGTAGAGACTAGGGGTGCAAATGAGCCGAGCTGGCTCGAGCCGGCCCGGGAGCCGGCTCGAGCTCGACTCGTTTATAGGCTCGCGAGCCGAGCTTATCAAGCTCACGAGTCGAGCTCAAGTTTGAGCTCGTTCATTAAACGAGCTCAAGTTCGAGCTTGATGAGGTTCAGCTCGCGAGCTCGCGAGCCGGATCGAATTTATTAAATTTAAATATTTAAAAAATTAATAATGTGAAATAGAGATAGCTTAAATTTTTGCCGGTTGAAATTTTAAAATCCCGCCTGAATTTCAAACGCCTCTCTCTCTCTCTCACTCTCTCTCTGATTTGACCTCTCTTATCTATAATAAATGCAAAAACGGCTAACACTCATTTCATTTTCTGACAAAGCTAAAAAAAAGCTCAAATCTCAATACCTCTCTCTCTCTCTCTCTCTCTCTCTCTCTCTCTCTCTTCTGTAGTCCCGCCTAAATTTTACTTTTAAGTCAAATTAAAAATGAGAATTAATTTTTTGGAAGATTGTTCCATGTGTGTTGGAAGGCGAACCGGACCTCATTTTGGGCTCGACGAGTGGCTCGAGCTCGATTACGGTGGAACGAGTCGAGCTCGAGCTCGATTTTTGAGCTCGACTCGAGTTTGAGTTCGAGCTCGAGCTCGAGCTCGGTATTTGACAGTTGAGCTCGACTCAAACACCTGACTCGAGCTCGACTTGACTCGTTTGCACCCCTAGTAGAGACAAAATAGGATTGACTCAATGATTCACCTGTTGAACTGACAGTTCTTGCCGGTTAAATTCGGTTTGATGCAAAGCCAATTTTTATAATGAATTCGATTGGCCATTTGACCGGTTCAAGGTTGAACCATTCGAACCGGCCGGTTCGATTTTTTAAATACAGTAGTAACAGTCAAATAGGAGGAATTTGGGTATTGTAGTTGCTAGCTTGTAGAAGGATAAGCTCGGGCACTGTATTAAGTGTAAGGAAAATAGTGGAAAACAGAAGGAAAATAATAAAGAAGAAAGAAGAAAGGACATTTTCGAAAATGTTCTCAAATCCATTTTCTTGGGTTGTATTATAGAATTTAATGTATTTGAATGCGAGGACAGTGTTTTCAAGTGGTTTAGAAAAGGTTGAGGCTTCATAGGGAGAAAAATAAGGATATCTATCGCTAGGAGGAACTTGTTTATCTGGTGAGATACTCGACTTTTAATGCAAGGGTTGAATGATTCCTAAAGCTAAAATTTTCCTAAAATTAAAATTTGCACTTTTTGTGATTTCTCTTATCTACCATGGTCGCATTTGTAGATTGTTATACATAGTGAGCATGTTAAAAATATCCAAGAACATCAAAGAGAATAATGCATATGATGAATTTTTTAATGTGATATAATCATTAATTTCTATGTATTTTAAGTTAATCCTCATGACTTCAAGTATAAAACTATTAACTGACATATTACGCACAAATGAGTATTTATACATGGATCATGTTTTATCATAAAATTGCATTATTATCAAGTGATGAATGAATGTTTATGGCACTGCCTATGAATGAGAAAATTAAAATAATGAAAACAATTTTCAAAGATCTTTTGAAAGGTCATATCATGTGAGTTAGGTGAGCTGACTATGATGATCTTCGCAAAAAAAGAAGATTCATAATAGCAGATAATTGGCTCAATTTTTTTCGGGAAAAGATGAATAAAAAGAATAAAATGGAATTTTTAACTCATCATAATGGAGAGTTGGTCAGCCCAACGTTTATTAATGGGTTGTCTTGATATGGGAGAGTTGGCTAGCCCAATTTTTATAAGGGAAATAAAAATAAAGGTTTGGCCCTTGATACTAGAGAGCTTTTAAGCCCAACCTTTATCCAGTGGATGATGATACAAAGGGGCCAAAGACTATAAATGTGATATGGTATTTCTAAAGTAATGATTCTTAAACATGAGAAAGAGGATACAACAACAACAACATCAAGCCTTTATCCCACTAAAGAGGATGAAAATAAAAATTAATGTCAGTTTCATGTTCATACAATAATTATGCTCATTATTTTTAATTTAATTTTCTATGCATTAATTAATAACTCATGTATTGAATTAACGTCTACTGCAGTGAGCTCATTATGCATATTTAAATGCAGATGGTTCTTATAGTTTCATACGATCAACATTGCATTTTTATGCACTTGAATGTTTTTAACTTTATGTTAGAATATCTTATCTCATTAAGCTTGTAACTCATTTGATGCTATATCATAATTTCCGGAAAAGGAAAGGGCCGTCGAATAGGGAACAACTAATGTATTTTGCTCTATATATTATAGTTTTTATTTATTTCTGAATTCATAGTTTGTAAAAGATATGTATGATGATAATGTAAAGATATTGGGAATGTACGAGCTTATTTTGGAAGTTATTTTTGAATCTATGTAATTAACTTTGATGATTTTAATTATGTATGTTTTCATTTCAATGTTTATGATGATTATATTTATCGATTATTACATATCAGTTATATGTTTTGACAATTGAGCCATACTACTTTCTTTTCATTCAATCCTGTCGAGTTAAATCATGATGGATATGATGAGAATTCTCTGTTCAAATTGTCCACTACTGCTGTGTCTCATAGTTACCTAAAAGTGGGTGAAAATATGTTGTGACAAACACTGCCGATCATTCCCCAAAGATTTGTACCAAAAAACATAGTGAGAAGGATAAAATAATTACTTTGCAATTCATATCTTTTGTTAACTTACTAAATATAAGACATCTTTCAGAAACACACATGACATACCCAAAACAAACTTGATCCTTCAGTAGGAGATTTTTTTTCCATCAACAACCCAAACATAAATTTTTTTATGTAATATTTCATTTTACATTTTTACTTTAGCATCTTCCAAATATGCTAACACTTTATTGTTCTTGATTTCTTACTTTATCTACTTTGGTCCATTTTGCTACGTTTATTTTATTGAATTTTGTTTTTCTTAGAATAAAACTTAGCCCTTTGTCTTCCTTAAGCTAACACATTCAAGAGAAATTAAAAGACACATTCGCCCCTTGGGCTTACATAAAACAAGAGGGTAAAATGGGAAATTGCAAAACTAAATTAAAATACACTTAATAAACGAAAATAAAGCAAAGTGATATCGGTCGTCGATCTTCAGCTCCTCCTCGGATTGGCATGGACGGTTGGATGTCCTCATCACATTATTAGCTTAATTGTAATTTGAATTTAACCTTAATGTAAGTATCTTGAAGAAAAGAAATTCTGTTTAACTTGATCGATAATCTTTTTATTGTTTAGTAGCTGAAATAATTTAATTCTCTGAGATAATAAAGAAACTGGACCATTGAAAATTGATAGGATTTTTTTTTTTTTTAAATAAACGGTGCATTTGTTCGAGGCAATGATGTTGGTGAACCTTTGTATACCATACACAATGGTGTGCATTGATATGGTGGAATTTAGAGTAAAGCTATCATCTGCTGGGGAGAAAATATTCTTTTTGAATTTAGAGTTAGGCTATGATCTGCTCAGTAAAGTATCCTTTATTCATTCAAATGGATATTGATCATGGTGCTTCCAAATTGAAATTGAGGCCAACCATTCATCTTTATCTAGAAATTATTGAATAATACTTTCATCGTCATAATCATCATGTAGGTTTGGAATTTTGTAATTTTCTCTGTTAATGCTTGTTAAGTGACCTAAGTTATTTAAATATTTCTGGGAACTAAAATTCATTGAACTTAAATAATAATTTTGTTGGGCATCAATCTCGAAATCGAAACCGATTTAATGATGCATAAGCGATGACACTGAAATCTTATTTTAATTGTCATCTTTGCATATATAATAATAGGCTGCTGTATCTCAAGCTTAACATATATTGAACATCATATATGTTATTGTGGTTTTTTTTTTATCAAATAAAATTTTTTACTTTCTTTTGGGTTCTAAAACAGCTGTTTGATGAAAATGGAAAGCAATCGAACTAATAAAATGGTTGATAATTAAATTTATGGATGATATTGGGATTTAGGCTACAATTTTCATTATTTTACATTATACACCTTTAGAAATTACTTATATTCACATGTAATGAAAAATTTAGGCAAAAAATGTTCTTATCTAGACTTTATATTCTCATAAAAGGCGAAGAGTTTTAAATAACTTCGGCTTCCTTTTGTTGGATTACCCTGAAGTTGCTTAGTTTTCATGCGTTGCCATTTACCAGTTAGAATAGTTTTTTCCATTTCTCTGTGGGATGTTGAAGTTACAGCAACTGTTACAATCTCAATATTTTTTTTTTTAATATGCGTTACACTCAAAAGTATGCCATGCATATTCTACACATGTTTTGTGTACGATGAACAAATGAATTGATCTATTAGATGATTAATGCAGGTGACAACAAAATTTAGCATGACTCATGAAGAAAAGCACAAGTTGCAAATAATTTATGACAGATTGAATACAAAATTTTAGCGAGCAATGTTGGAACGATGTTGATTATGGAGGGCTTTGCCAAATGAAATTTTACATATGCAGGTAATATGTTTTGTTTCATTTTGTATGTACTTCACATTTTTCTGACTCTTCACACATCCATTTGGACAAAAAATTCATTAGCATAATGATAGACCGGCTAATTTGATTCGGAGGGAATTAGAAAGTTTCTTAATCAAGAGGGAGCGGTTTAGGAAGGTTCTTAATCAAAGGAGAATTGTTTAAAAATATTTTAGTTACGATTGAGAGAGAATTATTGAGGTCAAGTGATCTATTTTGAATTCAAAATTTAAGAGGAAATCATTTTGGGAGAAGTAGTAGGAATTAAGGGGGTTGTTTAATAAAGTTTTAATTATAATTGGGAGAGAATTAATTAGAGAAATAAATATAATTTGAATTCAAATATGAGAGAGAATCATTTAGGGAAAAGTGACTGATTTGGGAGGGAATTATGAGATCCTATTTATGCTAACAATAGGGTGATTTCAGGATGATGTTTTAAGTTTGCTAAAATTAGAATTTCTTAGGCTGTGAGGGCTCTAGCCGCCAGCTAGGGATTTGGGAGAGCCAGATCTTCCTCTCCAATTGAAGATCCAACTGTATCTTCTTACTATTTTCTTTTATATATTTTGCAGTAAAAATAATTTTGGTGTGTTTTCTTTCTAATTTCTTATTGTTGTTCATTGATTTCAAGGAAATTATATCAACTTCCTATCACATAATTTTTTGCAAGAAGTAGATCAATTTTGCGTATGTTGATTTATTGACATCTGGAGTCCTCTTTTGCTTGTATACATTCATTTGAATAATACATTCATCTGCATACTTGTTTTCAAGAAGCAGATCAATTCTTCTTATATTTGATATGTTGAAATCTACTGTCTTATTTTGCTCCTTTTTTTTTCAATTTATTCTCTCTGATAGGATATTATTACTTTGAATCAGAACTCCTTGTTCAAATACATGCTTCTTTCCGATCATAGTTATTTGCAATTTACCCCTTGGAAAAATAGCCTTAATTGTAATGAAAATACTGTAAGTTAATATAGCCTCAAATCCATATCTTTTTATTGTGACTCTTCGAAATTTTTTGCTTGTGGTTATCTCAACACAATTCTTTATTTTCTCAATTACCCTGCCATTCAAGTGACTTCCCTGCTCCCCATTTGTTATCTAGAGCACCAGATCTGTTGATGTGAAATTGGAATATATATATAGTCACGATAATGCATGGGTATAATTGGTGATTAGTGGAATCTCTGAAAAATCAAGATATACACAACCATTCAGATGACTCCCTTGCTCCCCATGGGTTATCTTCTGCACCAGAGTTGTTGATGTGGAATTTGAATATATAGCCATGATAAGTATAAGTATGATGGTGGTAAGTGAAATTTCAGAAAAATTAAGATACCCAACTCTTCAAATGGCACTCCCCTCTGATGCGGACATCCAACCGTCTGTGCCTATTTGAGGAGTTGAAGATCAACGGCTGTCATCGTCCCCCGTTATCTTATCTTTTATTTGTAATTTTTATTTTTTATTATAAATTTTTCGTTTTTACCCTCACTTAAGAGGGTCGTCCTATGTAAGCCATAGGGGCATATGTGTCTTGTTTTAGTTTCTTAGGCTTATATATAGAGGCCCTTTCTGTGAAATGGGATGATGAATTGTTAATGAAAGTTTATTCTACTTGTTTGATCTCTTAGTGAGTTCATGAGAGGAGAAGGATCTCTTTGTGAGTTCCAAGATTCCCAAGATCTCTTTGTGAGTTCTTGAGGGGGAGGATCTCTTTGTGAGTTCCGAGATTCCCAAGATCTCTTTGTGAGTTCTTGAGGAGAAGGATCTCTTTGTGAGTTCTAAGTTTTCCCAAGATTTCTTTGTGGGATTTCTTTGTGAGATTTGTGGTGGAAGTACTTGAGGTGAGTAAATCCCTAACATTCAAATTTCTATTCTTTTTCCCTTGAATTGATCTTCCCCCTTCCCATAAGCCCCTTGCCGCCGCCCACCATTGGGTCGTCCAAGCCGCCGGCCCCATCTGCCGACCACCCACCGCCGCCTTCCTCCCCATCTTCCCCTCCCCACCTCTTTAGCCGCCGACCTCCCTCCTTGGGATCTCGAATTTGAAATTCAAATTTTCCCAAGCAACATTGAAGACTTTCCTAAATAACTCTATGATTTTAGGTAATCCTCTTAATTGAATTTCGATTCAAATTTGAAATTCAAATAAATTCTAATTAATTGCCCTTAGATTAGGAAACTTCCCCTTCAAAGAAAATCCTCTTTAGTCGCCAGCCTCCCTCCTTGGGATTTCGAATTTGAAATTCAAATTTTCCCAAGCAACATTGAAGACTTTCCTAAAATAACTCCATGATTTTAGTTAATCCTCTTAATTGAATTTCAATTCAAATTTGAAATTCAAATAAATTTCAATTAATTGCCCTTAGCTTAGGAAACTTCCCCTTCAAAGAAAATCTGAAATTTAATTCAGATATTTTTTTTCTTAAAAGCTTTGATTAGTATGTGGGCCCCATCTAATTAAAACCCAAACCTCTCTTTCCAATACATGTGGCCGGCCCCCTTCTTTGGGCTTCTCTCTTTCATATTACATTAATTGCTCCTCTTTAATTTCCCTTAATCCCTCCCAAAACCGTCGGCCCTATTATGGAATTAAATGCATTTTCAATTTAATTTCCCCCCATCCCCACTTGATATTTGAATTTCAAATCAAATATTTTTCCCACCAATTTCCCTTAAAGCTGAAATTAATTTCAGTTTTTTCTTTTCCTTGATTCCACCCCACTTCCAATTAGACTTAGCCCCCCCCCTCTCTCTCTCTCTCTCTCTCTCTCTCTCTCTCTCTCTCTCTCTTTCTCTCTTGCCTCATTAAATCACCTCCCACTAATTGCTTCAATCAATCCCTCATTAAGGAATGAATTTTCCCCTTTCTACATTATTTGGGGATTCAAAATTCAAAACCTAGCTCCTAAGACCTGCTCTAAATTGCTGTCCAGCAATTTTCCACTAAGAAATTGTTGTCCTGGAAACTCCGACCAGCCATAGTGCTGCCAGATCTGCTCCTGTTTGCAGACCAGAAATCCCTCAAGTGCTGTCCAAGGCGTTTCTAACCTCAAAGGATGCTGTCCAAAGTTGTTTAAGGGTCAAAATTGCTGGCCAGGCTTTCCTAGTGACCATCCAAACATCTTTAGTTGTTGTCCAGCCATCCTAGCAGATTTCCTACGGCTGTCTTGCTGTCCAGAGGGTCTCCGATTGCTTTCCAGGAGATTCCCAAACCTTGTGTTGCTGCCCACTTCTTCCCCAACACCAAAGTGACTACGCCGGAGCTACGTATTTGTCTTTTCCTTTGGAATATTAAGCGTGCAAATTTCCTTTAAACAATTCATCTATGCAATTATGTTTCACATCACCCTCCCTCCCCATGGGTTAGCTACCACATCAGAGTTTTTGATGTGAAATATGAATATTTAACCATGATAAAGTCTCGGAATTATTTGGTGATAAATGAAATCTTGGAAAAATCAAGTTTTTGGTGATAAATGTCAATACATAAATATATAACGTATACAAAAACAACAAACAACATCAAGCTTTTATCTCACTACGTGGGATTGGCTACATAAACCCTTTTTCACCATTGTGTCTATTAAAAATTAAATTCTCATTTAAATCTAATAAAGCCACACATCTAGTATATCTAACCAAGTTTTTTAGGTCTACATCTACCTTTTTTAACATAAGCTAAATATAATATATCTACTCTCATAACCGGGTCATCGGAAGACCGCATTTTATGTGACCAAAGCATCTAAGGAGACTCTCTCTAATCTTATGTGACACTGTAGCTACGCTAACCTATTCACATATATGCTTGTTTCATATCATTTCTCTAATAGTAAAGCCACACATCAGCTTGATCATCCTCATCTCTTCAACAACTTAATATTATTCTTCTCTTTTAATGGCCAACTTTCTGTATCATAAAACATTGCAAGCCTCACCACCATCTTATATAATTTTTCCTTAAGTTTGAGGGGGACTTGTCTATCATTGAACAAGTCTGATGCATTCCTCCACTTTAACCGTCCAACTTGAATTCTACTAGTAAAATCCCCATCTACACCATCACTCTGAACAATTGACCCAAGATATCTAAAATATGTACTCTTATTAATGACTTGATTGTCTAAAGTTACAATGCCCCCACTAGACCTACTCAAATGAAAATCTTTAGACTCTTAAGGCTGACCTCCATAATTCAGGGTTACCTTCAATTCCCTCTCTAGTCTTATCAACAAGAAGAAAATCTTCAGCAACAAACCTACACCTAGATACAACTTCTTGCAAATGCCTAGTGAGAACATGCATGATTAAAGCAAAAAGATATGGGCTTAAGGCTGATCCTTGATGTTGGTCAAACCATCTTGTGTTTGAACACAAGTAATAGCTTCAACATACATATCCTTATTGATTTGAATATAAGCATTATTAACCCCTTTCTTTTCTAGAACTCTCCATAGTATTTCTCTTAGAACTTTATTATATTCTTTCTCTAAATCAATAAATATCATATATTGATCCACCTTATTCTCTCTATACTTCATCAAATCTCTCAATAAATATATAGTTTCCATAGTAGACTTACCGGCATGAATCCAAATTGATTTTGAGAAACATTAGTATCACTTCGTAGAGCATTGCTCTCTCCCATAGTTTTAAAGTATGACACATAAACTTAATTCCTCTATAATTCGCACAATCTTGAGCATCACTTTCTTCTTAAAAATAAGAATCAACATACTCATTACATATATTGATTTTTTAATCTTCAAAATAATAGTAAAAAAGTTTAGTAAGCTAAGAAATTTCTTTATCTCCTAAGCATTTTCATACCACTATTGGAATATCATCAGGTCCAACAATTTTTCCACAGTTAATTTTTTTAAGCCTCTCTAACTTCAGTTTTATTGACACGTCGATAAAAACAAAAATCTCTATTTTCATTTAAGGTGCTAAGGTCACCAAAGTCTATCGTATTTTCACAATCTTTATTGAATAGCTTACCAAAATATCTAAATCCTCTTCTAATAAAAGTACTTTTGGATATTCATCCTTAAAGCACTTCACTTGAATTAAATCCTTATGCTCTCATCTCTTTGTTTTACTAATTTATACATATATCTTTCACCCTCTTTAGTATCTAATCTATTTAAATCATTAAAAACTAAAATATTTGTATCGCATATTCCTTTCTTAGACTTCTTACGGGCCTCTTTATATTTTTCAAATCTTCATAGTTTTTACATATAAACCAATTTTATATCAAAGTTTCTTATTTTTGATACTTTTCTTGTCCATTTTGATTCCACTGCCAGCTATTTTTACTTTTAAGGACTCTTTCTTTTGATACTCCAAACATGTCCTTTGCAACATTCTTAATATCACTAATCATTTTTTCTCACATAACGTTTGCTTCCACATATTCATACAAAATCTTAAAATCTAGAATCGTACTCTCATTAAATATTTTTGTTAGTGTTTTTTAAATGTCCCCATTTAATACTAGAATAATGTTTTACTTTATTTTTCATGTTCTGCCCCTTTATCTTAAGTTCCAAAACTAATTAGTGATGTAGGGTACATAAACTTTAACTTTGAATAGCTTTACGATCTTTGTAATCTAAACAATCTATTTTTGTTATAAGAAAATAATAAATATGAGTTTTACTAGATTCATTCTTAAGTTAAGAGATGCTAATCTCTTTCCTTAAATAATGTATTAATAATTACAAAATCACAAGTTAGAGCAACATCTAATATGGTCTTACCACTTTCATTAGTTGCTCTTGGGTGGAGGTTTGTGAGGGGAGGGTGGCTCCTTTCGCCGATTGACATTGAATTGAGAAAGAATAAGAAGAGCTTATATTCAGGAAAGCATGTACTTGATTGATTATGTCACACCCTTGGTGTCCATCCTGTCCAAGAGAGCTTAAGGATTTCCACGCAATCCAACTTCTCATCGAGAAGGAGAGCAAGCAAGGAATTCAACCACCCTCAAAATCATCTCTTTCGGTAGATATCATCATAGAGCTGTGGCTTATTTAGCACTATACCACAATTCATTCATTCTCAGGCATAACTGTTCACGAAATGTGCCTTGGGACATCTGTCGGCGATGTGAGTCTGACATCCGAGGGAGAGGTCAGACAAATCCCCCAAAGAGGAAAGCCAAGGCAGGGCATGGGCAAAGACAAGCCTTCCAAAGCATACAACTTTCTAGATCTATATGATGATATCTAGACAGATGGTTCCATAATTTTCTTAAGTCATTGATAATCCAAGTCTAAAGTGCGACCTAGGATTAGATTTTCATTTCTAAGATATTCGGGCCTAGAACCAGAGTAGAGCGCTAACAACCTGTTTAGTTTCTCTTACAACATATAGACTACCCATAGCCATCATGAATGATTTTAAATTCATTTATCTTTCTACCAACATATCTATTTAAATCTCCTCTAATAAAAAATTAAAAACTCTTTCATTAAGATGTATCTTTTGTATTAATTCTTTTAAGTCATTCTAAAATTTTAATTTTGAACACTTTTAAACCTACTTGAAGAGCATAAGCACTTATAATAATAATAATATTAGTATCAATAATAATTTTTAAAGCTCTAATTCTATTAATATTTATAACATTATCCTTCATACTCTTATCTATAATCACGCCTACACCATTTGTAGTATGACTCCTATCATAATACAATAGTTTACATTCTAAACTATCAATCTCCTCCGTGCAATGTTTGGTAGTGTTTGATTTACAATGAAGTGGGCATGTGGTATGATTGACTATGCTTTCAACGATATTATATTTTATTATATATGCTATATTTATATCATTTCATAATCACAAAATGCAAAGTATTGACGTATGTCCTACTCACGTAATAAAGTTCTCAAACTTATATGGCTACTATTGTCCCATGATCCCAAGGAGTGAACCACCGGGATAGTTTGAGAGTTTATGTTGAAGTTTTTAATTTCAGCATATATATGTTAAAATGCATTTATTTAGTTTGAAGAATACAAATGTTGATAGGATTGTTTGAAGAAAAATTTCTGAACAATTCTAATTATCTTTGGGCAAATTTAGCTATCATCACTGTTGAATTTCTTTTATAATTTGTTATTTGCTTCTCATAATATTATTTTCAATTATTTTTGTCAAGTCTTTTAGGGTCATTTGGTTGGTGCATTTGTAGTGTAATGCATTCTAAATGTATGCATTTCAAGAATTCAAGATATTGATTGGGTGAGCTCGAAATGCAGTATAATTCATTGGTGAATTTGAAATTCATCCTCTAATTCAATTTTGATGTATTGAAAAATTATTAGGTTTAGTCGATTTTCAAATGCACAATAAATTATTTGTCATTGCTACCACAAGCTATTGCTAGCCACCACCTTCACCACCGACCATTGACTACCACAACCATCGCTCGCTGGTGGCCACCTACTTGCCGCCATTGAATGTCGTTGCCGCCTCTCACCGGCCACCGACCCTCTCCATTGTTGGGCTTTACACTGCATTCATTTTACTTAAAATAATAATAATAATCTTTTGTATTTATTTTATACTTATCTAAACAACTCTAAATACTTTACGTACATTTCATTTATTTTATATCATCTTCAATTTTATTCTTCATTCTTTTTTCAACAAACCAAACAGCCCCTTAGAGGTGAATTTATTGCGACTGCAGTGACATCTTGGACTTTTTTATTTTGACCTTTTTTTTTCTTGTCTAACTTGATTATTAATTTAAAAATGCTGATTTCCTAGGGTAATCTTTGACTCTAGCAGCATGCAACTGCCTATATACCACGGACATCTTGATGTTGAAATTTTAAGTGCGGTGAAAATTTGCGTCAGACAATTTTACATGGTGACTGACCGTAAGGTGAGAACAGATACCTTCAGAGTGACTGATCTTTTGAATTTGAACCTCCGCAAATAGTTTCAGTGTTCTTATAATGTAATTTTTCACAGCTGATCCATCTAATGGACGCATGAGATATTGGCAATTTTTGTGTTATTACATAAATTCTTGAACTACCTACCCTTCTAAAATTTAGAATAATTGCACACCGCCTTTATTGGGGATGCTATATTTCTGATAAGGCTTCATTTGGGACGACTTTCTTACTGCTTAATGCAGCTTTTTAGTACAAAATTTTTAATTTTTGTATTAAAAAGCTGTTTTAAAAAATAATAAAAAACTGTCTCAAACAAAATCTAAAGCATGATGAGTTTTCTAATTGCTCAAAGTTTCCATTGCTGATGCTGATGATCCAATACCTAACCTTTCTTTGTTTTTTTTTTTTTTCTGGACTATACAGTTAAAAAGATAGATTCATTAAATGAGGACCTGTTTGATGTTGACCGAGCAGCAGGTTCTCTTCTGAGAAAATTTGATGTGAATGGTTTATGGAGCTTAGATGAGTATTGGAAATCAATAAGCTGGCGCAGTTTTACAAACCCATTATATTTATTCTGAAACAAAAATGAGTCAGAAGACTGGAGCAGGATGATTAGCACAGACAAAATTTTCCAGTAAAGCTAGGATTGCTTCTGTCACCAACCAGGAGAGAAAATGCTGAAATTTTGGAAGCCATTTAACGTTAATTATGTAAAACATTCTTTAGTATTGCAAGTGTTTGTTAAAATGACACCAACCAGTTCAGTCTCTTATAAATTTTATTTTAATAGCCCATATCATTCTACATTTTAAAGGAGCCATTTGAGATCACTATTTTTATTTATTTATTTTATTAGATGAATTGGTATAAAGGGATAAAGGTTTGTTGTTTTTATCGTTTTTGCATTTTTTTTTCATGTTTTAATGTGAATAAAATTAAGGTGCTTTGCGGAGATGAGGATGCTCAGGTGGATGAGTGGCTTTACTCTTAAAGACAAGATATACGTGAAAAGGTTGGAGTAGCTCCAATGGAAGATTAAGACTAGAGAGAGTCGTCTTAGATGGTTTGGTCATATAAAACGGCAACTTTCCGATGACCCGGTTAGTAAAGTAAATGTATTAGATTTGGCTTATGTTAATGAAGATAGAGGTAGAGCTAAATAGATTTGGTTAGGCTTATAGATCAAATGTTTATTTTTATTACAAAAATTAGGTTATTACATTAACCTTAAATGTTGTAACATTTATTATAAAAATGCATGAACACCTGCTTTCTAAATGAATAAACCCTAAATGTCTATTAGAGAAATAATTAATGGTACAACTAAGACCTTAGAGTGCCGCCCAAGTAGAGCAATGGAGAAGAGATATTATGTAGCCTAAACATGTTGGGATTTGATTTTGGTTATGATGTTATGAAAAGTTTGCAGTATTTATGAGCATTAGCCTGTTGGAGATCTGACTAGTTCTTTTTATGAGAATTCTTTGAATTTTCATGCTGTGTTTCTTCGTTTGCTAAAACAAAATCATGCATGAAGTCCCTTAGGTTGGTTGCTATTGCTTTTCATTTTGTGATGCTTTATTTATATCATGGTAGATAGAAAATGATCTATGCACTCAAGTTTTATTTGGGGTGATTTTTTTACTGATTTTTAAAATAGTTTTCGAGAAAGCATTAAGAAAGCTGTCGCAAATGAAGCCTCAGTTAGTTGCTGTAGGCTAACTTTCTTCACTGACCTCTAACTAGGTTTTATTTGAGACAATTTTTTTTTTGGTCTTGTAAAGTTATTTTTTTGGTTAAAAAAATTGTAGAGAAGAAATAGTGATATATAAAATCTAAAGTATTAGGATAAACTCTCTATTATGGCTGGCTGAGAAAATTTTTATTGGAAAATATCATAACCTTATTGATAAGCCCTCATCTTTGTCTCCATTGTTTTTGGCATTATGTTTGCTTAAGAGTTTTTTTATACTTCTAAATTTTGATTTTTATAGGACATTGTAAGATAAGTTGTCTTCATTTTTGAAACTTTTATTTGGTACGGTGAACGTACGTAGAGTTCTACGTTCGGCCGGCACTAAGATCGCTGGTACAAAACGAGAAATACCGAGCAATACCAACAATAACGAGAAATATCATTATGTGAAGACAAAATACTGAGTAATACCGAGTAATCCCAAAAAATATTGAGTTTTTTCTTAGAAAAAAGAAAAAACTCGGTATTTTTTGGGATTACTCGGTATGGATCTTCACAGAGCGGTATTCCTCGTTATTACCAAACAATACCTAGTAATATTGACCAAATACCGAGCAAAAATCGAGTAACAATCCTCTGACCGAACGTAGAGCTACGTCCGGTCAGGTCAGAGGACGTAATAAAAGTTCTCATTTTTGATAGCCTGTTTTTTTGTTAAAGTAATTATTTGATATTTTATTCAAAATCTTGTTCTTATCAGTGGGGTTGTGGATAAATTGGCACCGACACGATAATTTGATATTGACTTGACTCAAAAAATTTGAATTTGAGTTGATTAAATTTCGGTTAAAATTTATGTTATCTTAATAATTTAAATTTAACTCAAAATTATATTAATTATAATTTAAATTTAAATTAAATATGTTGAATTGGGATTAAGTGTATTATATTAAACTTAAATAAATTTAATTTGGATATAGTAAAAAGTGTTGATCTAAAAATATATATATACTTAAATTATTTGTGTTGACGTAGCTCAGCTGGCTCTTTGTTGGTTGGGCGCACCCGTCAACCTCAGTGAACCAATGTCTTAAAAATCCGATCGAATAGGCTGACAGACCGATTACTGGTTGAACCCGCCGGTCTAATAATTTATGCGTTGCGGCGTCGTCGCCACTCGGCCAGGTTCCAGGTCGTGTGAGATAGTCGACCGAGTGATTAAAAGCTGCTTGGCCTCCTTTGACGTCGATTCCTTTTTCTTGTACCTGTTGGATCGGAAGTCAGGATTCCTTCGACGACGACGGGAACTCGCTCACTGCGACGGTAACCATCTTTCTCCCTTTTTCGCGCGGTTATTCTGTCAAATCCCGTATATCCGGGATTTGCGGCTAAAGCGTAGAGGATTTAATTCGCCGTGAGATTTAAGAGGTCCATTTTGCAGGGATTTATCGTAAATCCTGCTTAAAATCCGATACCAAACACTCCTGGTCTCTCTCTGTCTCCCTCCCTCCTCTCTCGCTCTCATCAACGCTATACCCCGCCTGCTCACTACTGTACTCCACCTTCCACTAGGTCGCTCCTTACTATTCATGCCAAGTGTTTAACCTATACTTGCGGTGCTTTTTCCACACTACGTTTTTTTTCCTTCCCAATTTCAACGATGCTACTATCTTTTCCTAGGCTTGGAGTCAAGTGCCACTATGTCGGCCGATGAGGATGAAAATGCTGCCGAACTTAAAATTGGCGAAGGTGAGTGAGGAGCACCATCATCATTTTTTAATTTTCTTTTGCCTTTGTTGTTTTATATTAGTCAGCTTCTTAAAGGTCTTTCTTTGATTTCTGAACACATCGATGGAAAATCAAATGGTATACTTTTAATGCAATGCATATCATATTATCATTTGCTATAGTATTTTTCATATTTACTTCAATGTGCAATTTGATCAAATGTTTTTTGATTAATTTTTTCTTTATCAAAACTATTTTCTTGGAGTGTGGGCGGAAATTTCTTCCATCCCTTATTAATTTTTTTCCTCTTCATTGTGGCGTACTGTTTTGAATCTACAATATAATCTTGTAATTAGTTTGTTAATTTGGTAATTTCTTTCAAGAATTTCGTGTCATTCTGCTCAAGACTTGTAATTAAGAAAAAAACTACTTAAAGCTGCATAGGGCTGAACTGGGTAGCAAAGAATATTTTCCCTGTTATCATTTTATTTCTTCTCTTATTTCCTTTAAGACTTCGGTTTCACTTATGGGGTGTAAGCAACTCGAAATGGAAAAATTTTCCTGAGTACTCATCAATGGTGCCTTTGTTGATTTGCCACCCAAAAAAAAATAAAAATCAAAGTACCATAGTGTCAACAAAATCAGCCAAGATCTCCATCAATTCGTTGCGTAGATGCTAGTTAGTGGTCTTTGCTGATTCTGTGAGCAAATCTTCACCAATACCAGTGCAAATCTTATTGAGATTTTATCTTGCAGATCATCTTAAAAAAACATGTAAGGCAAAATCAACCATTCCTGAACAGAGGCGCTCCCCCAAATCCCCATTCTTGTTATGTTCCATGCCCACGCAGATTTCCACCAATCCATTCTTACATCAGTGTTAGATCCCGCTTGCAACTCCAAGACTTCCCTTCGCCAATTCAATCTTCTCCAGTAATTGTTAATGACATTTTGGCTCTTTAGTTGCAAGAAATCTCCCTTAGGTGCCTAGTTTAGAGACATTGTACTTCTTGAGCTCGCCCCATGCTCATTCTGAGCCTACTTCCTCCTGCTCTCAAACCCTCCAGTCTTCCTTGGTGCTCAACTAGATCCTATCTACAAACTTTCTTTTCCATCCACGCCTTCCTCTAGCACTTTGATATTTCGCCCTTCTTCACCAGATCTTCTACAAACTCCGCCGGATTTCTTGGTGCTCGCCCAAATCTTGCCTACAAACTATCTTTTCCATCCACGCTTTCCTCTTGCTCTTTCATGTTTCACCCTTCTTCGCCTGATCTTTACAAACTTCGCTAGATTTTTTTTGAGATATTTTCTTATGCAATGACGTTGCAACTTCTTTACATAATTCTGTCAGCTTAAAAAAAAGTTATATATTCTCACCAGATTACAGCTTGAACCCATGAATCGTTGCTGTATTCTAGCTTGAACCCTATTTAGTCGACATACCTCTGTTAGCTTGCCAATTTTATAATTTTTTTGTTAATGGTGTATGATATTCATTTGTTTGAGGATTTTTGGGCAAAACTCAATAATCAAGACGATCAAATAACATCTATCTTTACCATCTTAAAAAATATTCCTGTCTAATTGATGAATTTAGAAAATAACCTTGAACAACTTATTCAAAACAATTCATTGGCAACATCGGCAAACTCTGCATTCACTAATTCTCATTCTGAAAAAATATTAGATAGTTTTATTCTAATATTACTCAGGCAAAAGGGATAGATGATATGATAGAAAATATTTTGTGTAATATTAGCAAAGTTTAGGCTCTAACAAAAGATAAGATTCTTTTTATTGATTTAGTTCCGTGACATCAGAGTGGTTTACGAACAATCCATAGCATGATGTTGGTTGATGACATTATTTAAGATAAATTATATGCAAAATCCTCAAAGCAAGGACCAAGTTCTTCAAGTGATCAACTATAAAGATTTACTAATGTGACGACCTAATTTTTGGCCTAGAACAGAAGACATTCATTTGAGAAATTGTGGTTGAATGGATGGCTACCGTCTCTATTGGATTGACTTGAGGAGTTCAATCTTAAGGACCTGCTAGAGAGGGGCGTAATGTAGTAAGTAAATCAACAACATTAGCTTTTAATTCGTTAGTTAGAAGATAATTGCTTTTCATAATGTTGTTTCATTGTACTTAAAATTTATAACTAATTATGAAAAGCTATAAATAAAGCTACAAGTGATAGCAAATAATATTTTACCTAGTATCATCTTGTTTCTACTCTTGTTCCCTTTGAAACCTTGGTTTCACTTTGGAGTGCAGTTAGCTTGAAACTATCACTTTTGCAACTGCGTTGTGTAAATGAAGATTTTGTTTTCCTTTTTTGCTTGATTGCAGTCATCTGCATTCCTAATAATGACTTTAAATGTGAAAATAGTAGAGTGTGCAATGAGGCTGAGCGTTCATGATGGAGATTGGTTTGCATTCCATAGGCCCCAAGAAAAAATATATATCTAAATTTTTTTATTTATTATTATTAATTTTTTATTTAAATAGAATTATAGTTAAGCACCTTTATTCTTTATTCATCCTTTTATAGATTTAATTTATATATGGAAATAAATTACGTTTGGATATTATAATCAAAATTTTATCATAGTAAGTTAAAATTGTAGAATTTGTTTGAAGATCAATATATTTAATATAAGTTGAAAGAGCTTTTTCTACTATGACTATTATTAAAAATCGAGTACAAAATAGAAATTGAGATTAATGGATTAGTGATATTTTAATCACTTACATTGAAAAAGAAATATTTGAATGTATATTTAAATCTTTTAGAATATGAAGAGCATGCGTTATAAATTGTAAGTTTTTTATTATCTTATATTTTACCTTTTAAAATAATAAGTTTAAATAAAATATTTTTAAAACTATTATTGCTGGTCTCAAGCATGAATGAAAAAAAATTGAGAAAATATTTGAAAATTTTAATTTGTGTGCACACTAGAAAAATTTTATGGCTCCGCCATTATGTAATGATGTGCCATTTACCTTGATCATTTGTATCTTTTTCATGTGCGATTTATCATGAGCTAAATGCATAGATGTTTTGAAAACCTGCTTTTTCTTTTTAAAAATGTATTAAGTTGTGCTAATTTGTGTAGATTTAGATTTGGGATTTTATGTACTCCATCAGGGTGGTACATTTTGTTTTTGTTGGATTCCTTTGTGTACTCTTCCTCATTGTGTTGACAATAAGAGGAAGAAGCAAGTTGACCCTAGATTTTTTTTTGCTGATTTTTGTACCACTTCCTAATTTTTGGTCATGACAGAGATCTATAACTATTACTTTATTGAGTACAAGACTATATTCCTTTATAGAAACATGAAAAGCAATAAATAGTCTCTTAAAAATTAGGATGAGAATAGGGGAAAGTAGAAAATGTGAGATTGTATGATTTATGTTATTCCCCTATTTTGTGTGAAAAATCAAGATAATAATTTGTGCATAAATAGAAAGAAATTTTGGCACCAATCTTTACTTATTGAATCTAAAATTAACTATAAAGTAGAAATGAAATGTTATTGTCCACAAATTATTGGATTTTTGTAGATGTAAAGGTGCTAGCCATGGATTGCTAGAGATTATTGTAGATGGAAAGTTGTTGTCTATAAACTATTATAGATGGAAAGCTTTTGCCCATTGATTGTTGGGCTACTAGAGATGGAAATGTGTTGGCCACTTATTCATTATTATTTATACATTCTTATTTGGTTGTTTATGTTGATCATGCGAGCTTTTTGATTAGTTTATCAAGATTCATTCTAGGTAAAGTCTTAGTAAGGATGGTAGTAATGTAAGTGCTTGTTGGAACATAATTTAGCTGGGCTAGTTTATTTTCATTATTTTCTAAAATAAAATTCAGTCTATCTCAATGTATTTAATCCTATCATGGTGGACATGATTTGTTGCAATAATTATGGCAGTTTGGTTATTACAAAACACTTTTAGATATTTTTTCATTTAAGTTAAGGTCTTTTAACAATCTTTTTAATCACATTCCTCACAAATACCAATTGCAACAAGTTATATTTTGCTTCAACATGACCTTTTAAATGAGATCACAAATTATTTCTTACTTTTTTCATATAATTAAATTTTATAGGCTCTTATAACTAAAGGAGGATTTTCGATTAAATATGCATCCAACCCAATCATATGTGTGAAAATTTTTATTTTCTTGTTGGATGATTTTAATATGACAGGAATTTTTCTATTGTTATTTTGAGGTATCTTAGATTGTGGTTAATAATTTCCTTGTGGTCTTTAGTATTGTTGTTCATATATTGATTTATAACATGAGAAAAGGATCAAAATGGTTTATTGACTCTTTATGAAAGACTAAAATAGTCCTAACTATATTAAATGACTATTTTATTCCACCCTGAGACTATTTTGATTCTTTTTTAAGAATTTGAGGGACCAAAATGGTTTGTTAATACAGTTGGGATCATGTTGGTCCTTCATAAAGAGTCTAGGGACCATATTGGTCCTTTTCTCTTTACAACATTAATAGGGAACTTAATATTATGGGTAAGAGAGAGATATATATATATGAGTTTGCTGTTAGTGGTGATCCCTTTTTTTGTTTGAACCATTAGAGGTTTTTGCATGCTTGCATCCTATTTTTCGAAGTAGATGAAGAATATGCTTCTTTGGGAAATAGCAATGCCTTATTTTTAATCGCACTGCAATGCCAAAAAATATTTTAAATTTCCCAAGTCTTTTACCTTATGTTAAGGTCTTTTAACAATCTTGCCCAAGTCTTTTACCGTACCTTATCTTACAATAATTCTTCTAATCTGGTTAGCTTTTCTTTGAAGTCACTTGCTAGTGTAATATCATCTACATACATGATTTAAATTTCCTTTTTATGTGAGCGCTTGTAAAGAGAGTGTGATTAGCTTGACATTGAATGTACCCATACTTTTCAACTAATTAGGAGAATTTACTAAACAGTCATGAAGAGATTGTTTGAAACCATATAGAGCTTTTTTTAATCTGACCACAAATTATTGGATTGGTATAGATGGAGATATTTTATTCACGAATTGTTGTAAATGATAAAATGCTATTGTTAGGTTGCTATAGACTGAAAGGTGCTTGCTAGGGATTCATTATTATTTCAACACCATCATCAAGGAAAGTAGGCTTTTTAGTGTTATCGAACCAATTACCTTATGATTGTGAGTAGTTATGCAAGTGATAGTGGTGATGGAAGGTAGGATGTTGGATGTTACTGTGGTGGGGAAGTGAAAGTAGATGGAAATGATAGTGGAGGTGAAGAGAACAATTGGTCACTCTGGATACAGGCAGATGCTGATGAAAACTGTGATAGTTGTGTAAAATGAAAGCTTATGGAAGGACTATATAATAATTTGTGTGAAATAAAATAACCTAAATTGATACTTCTGAGGGGTAATTATTATTTTTTCCATCAGCGCACAGATTTATTTGAATAAATTTAAATATGCTGTTTATGAAATTCAAGGGGCAAATGGAAACTTAATGCAAATTTAATAAACTTATGGATCATATTGTAACATAAGAAAATGGAATGAATAAAGTACAAAATCCCCCCCCCAACACTATACCCTGCCCGCTCACTACTGTACTCCACCTTCCACCAGGTCTCTCTTAGTATTCATGCCAAGGGTTTAAACCTATACTTGCGGTGCTCTTTCCACTTCGTTTTTGTTTACTTCCCAATTTCAACGATGCTACTATCTTGTCCTAGGCTTGGAGTCACGTGTCACTATGTCGGCCGATGAGGATGAAAATGCCGCCGAACTTAAAATTGGTGAAGGTGAGTGGGGAGCAGCTTATCATTTTTTAAATTTTATTTTTCCTTTTTCGCTTTATATTAGTCAGCTTTTTAAAGGTCTTTCTTTGATTTCTGAACACATCGATGGAAAATCGAATGGTATAGTTTTTTATGCAATGCATATCATATTATCATTTGTTATAGTATTTTTCATATTTACTTCAATGTGCAATTAGATCAAATCTTCTTTGACTAATTTTTCTTTATCAAAACTATTTTCTTGGAGTATGGGCGGGAATTTCTTCCATCCCTTATCAAATTTTCTCCTCTTCATTGTGGCTTGCTGTTTTGAATCTACAATTTCATCTTGTAATTTGTTTGTTTATTTGAAAATTACTTTCAAGAATATCGTTTCATTCTGCTCAAGATTTGTAACTAAGAAAAAAACTACTTAAAACTGCATAGGGTTGAACTGGGTAGCAAAGAATATTTTCCCTGTTATCACTTTATTTCTTCTCTTATTTCCTTTAAGACTTCGGTTTCACTTATTGGGTGTATGCAACTCGAAATGGCAAATTTTTCCTGAGTACTCATCAATGGTACCTTTGTTGTTTTGTCACCCAAAAAAAAAATCAAAATCAAAGTACCATAGTGTCAACAAAATCAGCCTAGATCTCCATCAATTACTTTGCGTGGATGCTAGTTAGTGGTCTTTGTTGATTCTGTGAGCAAATCTTCACCAATACCAGTCCAAATCTTATTGAGATTTTATCTTGCAGATCATCTTAAAAAAACATGTAAGGCCAAATCAACCATTCCTGAACAGAGCGCGCACCCCCAAATCCACATGCTTGTTATTCCATGCCCATGCAGATTTCCACCAATCTATTCTTACGTCGGAGTTAGATCCTGCTTGCTACTCCAAGACTTCCCTTCTCCAATTCAATCTTCTCCAGTAATTGCTAACCACATTTTGGCTCTGTCGTTGCAAGAAATCTCCCTTAGGTACCTAGTTTAGAGGCATTGTACTCCTTGAGCTCGCCCCAAGCTCATTCTGAGCCTACTTCCTCTTGCTCTCAAACCCTCAGGTCTTCCTTGGTGCTCAACCAGATCCTATCTACAAACTTTCTTTTCCATCCACGCCTTACTCTAGATCTTTCATATCATTCCTTAGAAGGAGGAGTTCTGAATATATCTTCATACTGCCATTCATCCTTCCCATGTTCAAACCCTAAAATTTACAAAGATTAAATGAGAAAGCGGATACATAATTTTTTTAGTGAGTTTGCTGACTGTTAGTAAGTTTCAATTTAGGTTATGCACTAGAAGCATAGAGTCAAGTGTTAGAGTTTTTGAAATAGTAAAAAAATCTATGCCGACCACCTTTGATTCGTCTATAATACAAACATTATATTTTCTTGGCATAGGCTGTCATTGTAGAAGACATTTTTGTCTCTAGTCATATTATCCAATGTTCTCAAATTTACTATTTAAGCAATAATTGTCTTCTTATTTGCAATTATGCTGGTCCAAAAAGGGTATATGAGAATTTACTTTTCCGAGCAGTCAGACTTATTTCAGTGGTGGTTTGAAATAAGCTTATATTGGAGGATAGTTAGTGTTTTTTAGTTTGCAGTCCAGATGTTTACAAAAGGGTGGGAAGTGCTGTTGCAATTTGCCTTTGTTGCTAGCACCCTTAAGAAATTTGCAATCCAATATTTCATCATGGATTTTCATGTTTTGTATATGGATTTTCTATTTTGAGGTTAATTTCCAGCATGAAGGATTTATCAACTTGGAGAAGAAACTTACAGGGAGTAAAACCTTAATGGCTTTAATGCCAACATGAAAATTTAAGACTGAATGAAAACTGTGATAGTTGTGTAAAATGAAAGCTTATGGAAGGACTATATAAAAATTTGTGTGAAATAAAATAACCTAAATTGATACTTCTTAGGGGTAATTATTATTTTTTCCATCAGTGCACAGATTTATTTGAATAAATTTAAATATGCAGTTTATGAAATTCAAGTGGCAAATGGAAACTTAATGCGAATTTAATAAACTTATGGATCATTTTTTAACATGAGAAAATAGAATGAATAAAGTACAAAATGCATGACCACCCTAGCAACTTAAATTACAACCTTTTGTGGTCCTTTGATGTTAAGTGTGCATCCTTTTTTTTTTCCTGATGCCTGACACTTACAACAAAATAGTATTTTAAAACGTTCACTTTCTCCCAGAATTTTTGAAGGCAAAGTGCTTAATGAATTGTGAAGTTGCACTTATTCTTGATCGAAGATTGGAGCAACTTCAGCAGATGTCTGATGATCCAACAAATCAAATGTCTCAGTAGGTGTTTTCTATTTTTCATTATATTTTTCAGGATGTAAATGGAATTATGTTATTTACACTGTTATAGGGTATTTGAAAAGTCACATCAATATGTAAAGCGCTTCAGTCGCTACAAGAATCAGGATGCAGTAAAACAAGTTAGAGAGTATCCTTAATCAACAGGGCATATAGATCGATAATGGTGCATTTTTTTTAATGTAGAAAATGCCTCTCTTTTTTTAATTTCTCATTATATTCTTGAATAAGGGCCATCTTTTTTTACTTTCTACTATTTAATGTCTCTTCTTGCTTTTCTTTTTCCTATATTTTTACCTATCCTTGAACATGTAATCCTTAAGTTACTTCTCAGAATCCTTAGTAGGAATAAACTAGCTGAATTTGAGGTATGGAATTTTTACTTTAGTCACGTAATTTATGAGATTTAATTTCTTCCTTAAATCATAATGTCATTTAATGTTGGAAATTGTAGCTCTGTGTGCTTGGAAATCTCTGCCCTGAAACAGTTGAGGAAGCAATTGCCATGGTGCCATCCCTTAAGGTGACGTTACTGAAACTTACTGTTTTTTTGTATTTTGTTGTGATGTTCTGAAGTGAATATATTTTTGTAACATTACTTTTTAGAAAAATATACCTGGGTTTCATTGCTGCAAACCCACCTTATGTAATATCTATGGAACTTCAAAATAAGGGCCGAATATGACTGTATCTGCAAGCAAGCCAGATTTTCTGTTTAAAACAAACATTTAGAGATCATATGTAGTCCATAGGTTCCCTTGAAAAATTATTGAACTCACGTACTAATAGGTAAAACAACTAGTTAATCTGGATGGACTTGCTGAAACACTCATTGTGCTCAGTAAATTTAGGAAACTAGCGCAAAGGCAATTTTATTTGGTTTATTAATGTTGCTGCTACTGATTGATATTAGATGGAAGATGATCATATGCTGCTTGACATGGATCCCTTGACTAATATGGTTCAACTGTCTAGTTCAGAATGCTCTTGTTGAGCTGATTTATTTGGGCCCCACTTCCTTCTCCATTTCTTCCCCATCCTCCACATGGAATCCTTGGTGGTGCAATGAATGCTAAACTTGTTCCCAATGTCTTCCGGTTGTGAGCAACTTCGTTAGGTTGTTCCTTGTTCCTCCACTCAATAATTGGTCCTTTTATGTGCGATTTGTTAAACAAGATTTGAACTTCCTAAATCTTTAGTGGCATCACAAAACTTTGATTCATGAGTTGTTTGCGGTGTTAGATTACTCTCAATAAGATGAGCATTTTGCACTAAAAAAATCATTTATTGTTGGCATTGGATTGCTCTTGAGAAGAGGAACAAATTGACACCAATATTGTACACTGGGATTTACAGACATAAGTTTGGATCCCTGAAGCTTCCCAAAATTATTATAGATAATCCAACTACTAGATTTTTGACTTCTCAACTTCTTTGAGTTTGCGACATATATAGAGAAATTCCATCTTCAGTTTGTTGGTTGGAGACTTCGACATCAGCTGCTATCAGCACAGCATTGTTAACGTCATCAAATCATCATTATCGGTCACTCGAAGAACGTACAAATCAACTTTGGCTCAAATGGGTTGATTAGATAGGGCATGAAGTCGGATCATCGAAGCACTATTTGATGAATTGAGGGCGTGATTTGGTGTATTCATTTTGATAAGGACTATGAATATTCTAAAATTGCCTGATTAATGATTGAAATACTTCCATCAAAATGTATAAATAGTCCCTTTCTACTCATTTGGAAACATTTTGAATTGAAATTAGATGGAGTTCTAGAACTCTAATAACCTTCATAAAATCTGGACAGCCTTTTATGCATTTTTTCTGATCTGACCTGCTCTACCTACTATAGTTGGTCGTCCAATTCCCTTATTTCTTAGATAAGAACTACCCTCATCTCCTTTTTGTTTTTTTCATTAATCTTTAGTTGACCAGTTCATCCTTCACTTTCAAATGGAAGATTGCATTCGTCTGCTTATCGTCAACATTAGCATCAACACCTTCATATTTTCCTCTCAATCATATACAAGCACTTTTTTCTTTTGTTAGACATTAATCTACCAGCTTTGCCGATTTATTTTTGCCCACCACAAATCGGTTGTCCAATTCCCCTTTATTCCCTTATTTCTTAGATAGGAATTAGCCTCATCTCCTTTTTGTTTCCCATTGATCTTTGGTTGACCAGTTCATCCTTCACTTTCACATAGAAGATTGCATTCATTTACTTATCGTCGCCATTAAGAAGAACACCTCGATATTCTCCACTCAATCATATACTAGCAGCTATTTTATTTTGTTTGATTTTATGTTGTACTTGTGCCTACTCTAATTTTGGGGCGGCATCACAAATTGTAGTGCAATATTGTAATAGTGAAAATTTTTAAGTAGGCAAGGTCCATAGTTTTTTTCATTTATATATTTTTCCTTAAAAAATCTATTGTTCTTTATTTATTTATTATTTTTTAAAATTTTCATGTGGATATTCTTTTGAAGCTAAGATATAAAATTCTCTCTTGATTGACGTGGTTATCTTGCAAGCAAGATTGGCAACTTTTTTGGGAACAAATATTTTCACCTCAAAATATTAAGCAAATGCTGACTAACATTTGGGTTCTAGATTTTATGCAGCATATTGCCATGACAAATAAATAGGACACTCACAATGTTGGGGCATTTTACTCCAACTCTTATTAATCGAGGAACCCATCCATGAACTAAGGATATCATGTCCAGGCTCTTGCGCTACCCCCTCTTAACACACGAAACCATAATAATGAAGGAACTTCTGACCTATCTCTAGAGATCAACGTTCCTTTCTTGGAAGATTTCCAAACTCGTGGAATGAGATCCTTCGCCTCCTTCACAAGACTTGTTAATTGCCAACCAAGCCTTTCACAACGCAATCCTGCGATTCATTGCCTTCCTAAAAAATAATTGCATTGCAGAAGTTTTCAGCCTGAGAGTACCCACATAAGAGCTTCTCGCTCACCATCATTAGTTGTTTCTTCATCACCCCCATTGACAAACACCCATCTCCTCAGTACCACTTCGATTAATTGTTTGGTGGCGGCAACAAACCTCCTCATACCTCTTCTTGACAATGGCACCTATGACATTTTTTCATGATGAACGATCTTCTTGTCCAAGAAGAGAACCTTCTAGAAGGACATGATTTAGCATGCACCCTAGTCGTAACTTCCAACAGTCATCTTTTCTTGTAGACAAAATTTTCTGATGAGGACATTTTTTAATTGAATTTAAACTGCTTATTGTATGCCCTTACGATGGGTCTTCTTGTCTTTAAAGCACATCAATCATTTAGGACAATCACACACCTTTACTTGACAAGCCTTGGCATACTTCTACTCCTTTGCCTGTGGATCTATCAACGACATCATTGAGTTGGATTGGCTATTTACCAACCAGTTCATAATAAATAGGAGAATTATCAAAGTTTACTCCTATCTTTTTGTAATTCTCTATGATTATCGAGAATCATAGAAGGAATACTTCCCATGGTGTTCTACTGAAGCTCACTAGATCCTGTAGTCAATATAGAGCTGTTTTTTCATATTACTCTTGTAGGATTTCACCCTGATTCATTCTACTTTATATTCACGCATGAAACTATTCATTCTCCATTAGTCTTATCAATCGGGTGGAGGCATCCCCATTAATGAGGTTATCAATGCTGACAACATCATTTTGCCCAATCTATTAACAAACGAAAACATTCTGAGAAGGGACGTACCAACAAACCTAGCGAAGAAACTTTCTCAAAGAAATCAAATGCTTGATTCACCAAATATGCTTGGTCTATTATACTCATTTTACTATCATAAAAAAATTTCCTTATTTTATAAATAGTTATGCTATTATATAATTTTGCTATTATGACGAACATGTTAAGCTTGAGGAATGCTTGAATGATTGGATCTGTTTAATCCTAGGCGGCTAGGCCTGCAGTTTGATAGTTTCTGCTCATGCTTTTAACTACAAATAAGTTCGTAAGCATGGAAGATGTATTAAGGTATGAAACAAACAAAATGCATTCATAGTAAAGCATGTGTGTACACTCGAAGCTATATAATTGGTGATCGGATTTCAAGTGATATTTATAGAGCAGTGTTGGTGATGAAGGATCGTGAAACTTGGGCCAGTTTGGAAACATTCATGATTATTTATTTTTTAGATAGTTGTGATTCTGCATAAAGCATATGCCATTGCTGGAGAAATTAGAAAAATATATACTTAGGATGTTCTGATCAAATTTTGATCAACGTGATTTTCAAAATCGTTAAGATTAGTACAATATATATGTGATCGATCAAAATTTGTATTATATTATTAGGACTAAATTTTGGTTAAGATATCTTGGCCCAAAAATTTTCAAGAGATTCATTCCACATTTGTTCGAGGGGAAAAGTTTTGGGTATGGATAAGTCTCATAGTTATTATTATTTTTTGAGTAAATATAATATAAAATTTAATTGAATACACATGCATAATACTCATCTCAAAATTAGTCATTGATTTTAAGATCACTCCTGATTAAATTAGATCAAAATATGCTAATAAAAACTTGTTTCTATTCAATGGTCTTTCCAGAGGTGGAGCAATGGTTGTTTTCATGTGGGGGTACAAAAGTAATGTATGAATAAGCAAAAGCAATGTATTGTATACAAAAGACTATTAAATATACCTATTCTTCAAAAAAAAAAAAAACTATTAACTATTCTTGATAGAAAGAAGCAAGTGACTCTGTCTCCGCCTCCGAACTCTCCACGAGGATCATTGATCATGACCGGAAGCAGCGTAAGGAAGGAAACAGATTTAGGAGAAGCTTTTATTTTTCTTAATTAAGGATTACTTTTTTTTTTGGGAAATCGTATCTAGCTTAATTAGGCATTCATTAAGAGGCCAGTGGCGGTCTATGCCCCCGAGGCTAAATCCGCCCTTGGGTCTTCCCTATGCTTTTGAAAGGAAATGATCATGCAAAAATTTACATGCCCAATCCTTATGTAAGTGCGTGCTGGACTCGGGTATTTTATTTTATGTATGCGTCTATTCTCTTCTTTGATACTTCATTTACTATGCCATGCGATCAAACCATCAATATGGCGATGGATTTTGCTATCCAAAACATACGAGTTCTGAAGTCCTTTTTGTGTTTGCAGAGCAAAGGCCGCGCCCTTGAAGATGATGCCATTGAGAAAATGCTAAATGATCTCTCTTTGATAAAGAAATTTGAATAGAGCCCAAGAGATAATTTAGGCTGTAATCATTAATGGTCATATTCCTCCATGCTGAAAATGGCCATACAGTTCCATCAAATAGAAAAATAGGCTCTCTGCTGCTCGTTCTGCTTCTTGTTGCGAGTGATGGATACTATATGAGTTTCATTACATTCGTACAGTAAAAACATATTGTGAGGGCTTACTGATTTAAATTGCTTTGAATTTTAAGACTTTGTTTGATGCGTCTCATTATTATTATTAGTTTTTTATGTTCTTTGTTAGATGTTTTATAATACTATTTCTCAGTATATTTTGGGGAAAAGAGTGCAAAATGGTCTATATTTTCATTTTTGCACGCCCACTTTTTGTTGGATTTTTTTTTCTTTAAAAAAATGAAGTGGAAAATAAATGAAAAAAAAAAACTATTGTGCTTAAGTTGTAACATAAATTTTATTGATGTTATCGTATGAAAGGATTATAGATGCAAGTCAAGTCCAATTGTGAGTTGGTTCAAGCTCGACTTAATAAATGGCTCACGAGCTGAACTCGATGAGCTAATAAGTTAAGTTTGAGCGAGCCTTGATTTGATTTGTTAGCTCATAAGATTAATGTTCTTCATATAATGTTCGTCATTATCAAAGAGTTTACGATCATCATCAGCATCACCCCCAATTTGAAAAATCTTTAATTTTTTACTGGCACTTAATTTGAAGTCAAAATTTGCCCAATCCACCCCTTCTTCCTCAATATCACTACAATATAATAATTTAATTTGAAAGATCTCATATGATATATAAGCTTCATAAAATAGTTTGCATAAGAAAATTTTATTTAAATCCCTTTCATTTGGGCTAACACCTTTGTCCCCAAATTAGATCTTTGACTCTACATTTGATATTGCCATAATCCATCAAGTCCTCTCCAAATATCTCCATAACCTCCTTTGTAAATGATCAAATACCCTTCTTTATATTTATTTTAGATCTCACTTACCTCATTCAAAAATTCCAACTAAAAACTTACTAAATATTTTCTACCAATTGAATCTTCTATCTAAATGCAGCAATGACCATGCTAAATGAAGCAATGATGTCATAAAAATATTTTAGAACAGTGAACATCAATTAAAATGTGCTCAAAATAACTTTTTTATGATATTTTGATAAATTTGAAAACATGTGTAGTGCACACAACAACGATAACATCAAATTTTTATCCCACTAAGTGGGGTCAGATTGACCCAAAAAATTCAGATTCGAGTTAACCCGTTTAATAAACAACTAAGATTTGAGTTAGGTTTTTCCAACTCGTTTATTGAACGGGTATGATTCGAGTTAATTCACAAACCCATTTTTTATCCAAAATAACATGTTTCTTTTCTTTTTTCTTTACTTTTTTTATTTGTAAGTATAAGCTTCTTATTTTTTATTAAATATGCTAAATATTATAGTTAATAAGTTATTAAAAAATTAATCAAAATGAGTTAATGAATCAGGTATAAGTCATTCGGATTACTAGTAGGTTGGGTTCGAGTTGATGTTTTGACCTATTCACGAAATGCGTCAAATTCAAGTTGATTGGATTAAAATAGAGTTAATTCAGGTCAGATCAAAACCCGAATGTCAACCTATTTTGACACCCCTAATAAATTTCATAAAATTATCTCCCGGAGTTGTTATGATTACTTTGAATGCAACATTGTATTTATTTATCTGATTAAATAATAATAATAATAATAATAATAATAATAATAATAAGGAATTTGTGTCCATCACACCTGCCTTAAATAATAAAATTTAATTTTAAAATATATTAGATAAATAACATGCATTTAGTAATTTATTCCTCATTTTATTAGTAATTGAGAATTGAAAAAAAAAAACTTATATAAATTTATTTTATATTTATTTAATGTGTACAATTATTTCAAAATTTTAAATTTTAAACAAATTATTTGTGGGCTTCGAAAGTTCACATCCCAGCCTCTTCACGGACCCCCTTTCTTTCTTTCTCAGATCATCGAGAAAAGTTTTAATGCTTAAGTTATGAGGTAAATTTTCAGAAGACAGATTCTGTTTGAAATAAGACACTACCCAGAGATTTCATGCTCATTTTGTGAGTACTTTATGATTTGAATTCAAGTTTTTTATAGGCGTAAGCCCCTATAGTTAATTACCCCTCCTGATAACGAAATAACTTTCGATTAAGGCTAATCGTCAAATAGATACGTAGAGATAAATAGTATATTGTGAATAGTAGCAACAAATTTGGTATGTGAGAATTTAATATTTAAAATTAAAAATTTCACCTCTTACACTTTCCTCTTACACTTAAAATGGATGGTGGAGGGAGTGATGATGAGCCCGATCAAAATCCTATGATTATGTTGTCCTAGGTCATCATAATCACTGGTTTACTTAGTTAGAGGAGGTAATTGACCCAACCTGATCGAATGATCTTTGTCGACAGCCATGTGTTGTTTTTTCCAAAGGCACCTCACAGACTTGAGGTGAATATTTGTCTAAGGGGACAAAATTTGAATCAATCTTAACTAACATAGGACTTTGTAACCTATCGATTATATCATATTAATTCATTGCTCAATGATCTGAAACCATTTGGAAATATATGGGCTCTGATCATGACTGTAATTTAGTGATGCCATTTGGTAGCAAAATCACCCAATTCAGAGGGTCCCGATCATACTCGTTTACCTAGCTATTGTGTCATTTAATGGCAAGACCACCAATTAAAGGGTATGTGTCACATCCTTACTAGCAATAAATAGATTGAGAATAAATCATATTGATATTCTCGACTATACATGAGCTGAAGTAGTTTTAAAAGTTTTGTTGTAAGTATTTGATAGATTATTTAATTTTAAATATTTTAAATTCTTGCATTTTTTAAATTTTGTTTGAGTTTGCTTGAACATTTGAGAGGCATTTTTAAATATTCACGATCCTCTCCATTTGAGATTTACAGATATTTTGTTTTATTTTATTATTTGAATCTTGTCGACTGTCTTATTTCCCGACGGAGGATCGGGTTTTTGTAGACTTGATGTCTTTGGTAAATTTTTTGAGAATTGACCGCTCCGGTTGAGATTTACATTCAGCACGGTCATCATCGAGGTGTTTTGTTTTGGTTTATTAGTTGAACCTTGACGACTCTATATTATTTGCAAACAAAAGATTTTTTTCGTTGCAGGCTTAGTGCCTTTGATAGATTCTTGAGAATGAAACTCTCCGATTGAGATTTACATTTAACACGGCCATTATTGAGGTGACTCATTTTATTCTATTAGTTTAACCTTATTGAGGTTAGGAAAATTTAAGGTTTTTTTTTTTTTTTTTTGTATAGGTCAACATTATTTTTTTAAGACATTTAGGTCAATTAAAGCAAATTCACCCATACATCGCATAGAAAAAAATTTGAACCCAAGACCTCTTAATTACTAGCCTAAGCTCTCAACCAACAATCCAAAATAAGCTGTGTTAGGTCAAGATTATTACAAAATATATCCAATATCCTGTATTCATATTGTTTCTGATGTGCCTACTACAGTAAAACAATGCCCTAAGAATTTGTCTTAAATGGGCCTTTTTCTATAATAAAATGTAATGATGAAAAAAAAAATGCTCAGTCGAATCCATCACCTTCTTGACCTTGGCAAATAAGCTCCACATTCTCTGCAGCTTGAAGAGTAATTTGAAATCATTTGATATAATTTCCAGATGAGCAAAATAACTAAATAAACAAGTCTTCAGGGAATTGAAGGCTGCTTCTGAAACTCTCTGTCAAAAAACAAAATTTTATTGATATAATTGCTTACCATATATTCCTACAAAATACAAAATTTGGAGATTGAACAAGCTCTCCATATCACAGTAAGGAAACTATCAAAGGCGAAGGGATACATAATTTACTCCACATAGCAAAAAAGACAAGCAGCTGGAACAACTAGCTAGCTTCTACGTACTATCTGCTTCACTTCTCACTGCAGGACTTGATCCTTCTCATCTTGGAGCTACTACGGATGGAAATAGAATCACCATTCTCTTCCTTTTTATCAGAAGGATTTGACAATGTTGCTGCCTTCTCCTTCCCTGGATACCTTGAAGAGCACTGGCTGTTTTTCTCCTTCACAACATCACCACCATCATCACGACATGCATTAGTACCATGGTTGACATGACACATACCATCATCATCATTCCACTGCTTACATGGTGTGCCAGAAGAAGCATCAGATGCCATGGAGTCATGATCATCCTCCTTACCCTGATCATCATCATCTCCACTGCTTTGACCACCACTAGTACCATCCACTTCCCCATCATCATCATCATCACCATTGCTACCATCATGCATGGGTGATGCAAGGTACATGGTCCATCCAGACTCACTACTGCTGCACTCTTCTGCATCTTCATTGAGCTGGGAGGAAGATTGTTCCATGGGTGTGGAAGAAGAAAGATTGATAAGATATATAAAAGAGAGAGAAACTTGAGATTGGAGAGAAAATAAAGCTTCAATGTCATCTTAAATGGCAATGCAAGGAAGCATCAGAAGAAGGCCCACTTCAATACCTCCTCACTGCCTCTGATCACCTCTGTGCATCAAAAAGGACAGATGTTCCAGGCTAAGAGACAGAAATCCCATGAGGAATTCCTCATAGAATTTCTATAGGAAAATCACTATAAAAATAACCACATATAGATTACAAAAAGAAATCTTTCTTTAGATTAGACACATTCTTTTATAAATATATATAAATTTTAATATTTAAGGGTGTTTTTGGACAATTATTTCTGAGTTTTATCCTTTTAGACAGCTGTTATAGTTCTATTGTTTTATTAATTCTATGCTGTTAAAAAATTAGATTATGAAGAGTAGTTTCATATTATTTAAAATTTTATTTTACAAAATAAATTTCAATTTTTAAAGTACAAAATTTACAAATATCAATATTATCATGTTTTTTAATTTATATTAAGATTCCATAATATTTATTATTATAATATATTATTATTATTATTATTATTATTATTATTATATAGATATGCATGCACTATCACAAAGATGAATAAAATAAAGACATAGCCTTTTTATGTTGGATGTTTCCTACAAAGACTTTTGTCTATGGGTAAGTAAAACTCAGCCCAAATAACACAAATGTATACAAAACCTGCACCATTAATTGCAGGAAAACAAAAGAAAACCCACCACCTGGAAACTAAAAGAAATCTTTGAATCCTCTCTGACAAGTCATCAGCAGAAGGAACCCACCTCATGGGAGGAATAAAAGAGGTCAAGGGAGAGAAGGAGAAAGCACAAGGGCTTCATTTGTTATAATTGCAGGAAATCAAATCCCTCTTTAATTCCTAGTCTGCCAATTGCCATAGAGGTCCAGTCTTCTTAAATAGGAAAGACAGTCCATCTTCACCAGGCACTTGGAACCTTTTATCTCCCCGTCTTTGTCATCATCCCCATAAGAGAGAATTTTTATTGGGTGCAATCCGGATCAGTAAACTGATGCCACGTAGCGGCCCGGCGACCTGAGGATCTGATCTGTTGAAAAGTCGGAATATAGCATGTGTGTTTCCGATTACCACACGGCCCGATGACCTGACCCGGTTCGGACGTAAAATTTCATTTTCTTTGGCAATATCCTCGTCTTCTCTGTTCTTTCTGAGCTCTCTCTTCTGTAGCGATATCCTGTCTCATGTTTTCAAAAAAGTCCGCCAATGTTATTAAACCTAAAAAAGGCGCGTTTCTTTTAAATTTTCGCGTTCTTTTTTGGGTCAGGTCGTTGAGTCATGTTGTAATCGGAAATGCAAGTGCTATATTCAGACTTTTCGGCGAGTCAGATCCACAGGTTGCCGAGTCGCTACGTGACGTCATTTTACTCGCTTCCGGACGTAGAGCTACGTCTGACATCCAATAAAAATTCCATAAGAGAGGATCCACTCTTATGGCTGTCAACACAGTTTCTCCCATCTGGCCTCCATTGTTGTATCTCTTGTCCTCGTCTCCACTTGGAAAGCATAGCTAGTGGTGTCTTGTATAATCCAAAAGGCTGGCTTTTGGTTCTTCTCTAGTTCCATTATTCCTTGGCTTATTATTTGTTCTCCATTTCCTGGACATGTTGGCTTGGCTGGCTTGCTATAATTTCGAATTAATATTCCTTTGTAGCTATGGACATGTAATTGGTTGTTCATTTCTTCTGTGACAAGGCATTTGGCTTCCTATATATGCTTTGCATGTGACCTCAATAAATTGTGAGCAGTAAATGGAGAGAGTGATTTGAATTGTGAAGCCTTTTGTTGGACAAGCAGCCCTATAGCTTCCCAATTGTAGGCTGTCACTTCTGTTTGGGAAGCATTGAAAGCAATCCATTGCACCATATCTTTCCAGAAGATCTTTCTAACTTCCATTAATATGAGGAAGAGAGCTTTTTTTTTTTTTCTTTCTGTTTCAATGCAGATTGTTCTTTCTCTAATACTGGAATCTGTATAGGTGGGGGAGGTGAGGGTGAAATTGTGGAAAGCTACAAGTGGTAGAGAGTACAAGCTAGGAAGGTGGCAGCACATGGATTTTTTGCTTTCAGATCAGGATAATTTGGCATACATGTGGCTGGTGGTTGCTAAGTGAGGCCCATACATTTCATTAATGATATATTAATCCATCAATAAAACTGCAATGTATCCTTATGTGGAAGACATAACAGCACTAATGATTTTTATGCTATGATGCATATACACGGACACGACGACACGGATACGATATGATACGGACACGGGACACATGAATTATTGAAAATATATGATACGGACATGAGTTGGACTAAATATTATAGCTTTTATATTTAAAAATAGTATAAAAAATTAAATAAATATAATTTTAAAGATAATTTAGAAATAATAAGTCATTTAACTAAAATTTATGATTAAAATGATTAGTATTAGGATGTCGAGAGTCACGCGTCGATGACGCTTATTAGTCACCGAGAGAGTAGATGAAAATATCTTCACTGTAAAAAAGAAATGAAAATAAGAATATTCAATTATTGGGTATTAAGTGTTGACGTTGATTTGGTGTTGTGAATAAGAAATAATAAATTTAGTTTAAATCCAGCCAAATAAGTGAAATTATATTTAAAAAAATCATAAAATATTTAAGATACGCGTGTTGGACATGCGTGTACAATTTGTATTTAATATTTTTTTAGTCGGACATATTTTTGGATACGTGTCGTGTCGGATACGTGTCGGACATTACACGTCTTTTTGAGGAGAAGTGTCGGTGCATCATAGTTTTTATGATTTAGCTTCGTTTGGGAAAACTTTTTTATTGTGTCTTAAAGCAGCATTTTAGTAAAAAAATTAAAAAATTTATACTAAAATATTATTTTAAGAAGCAGTAAGAAACTCATCCCAAATGAAGCCTTAATGTTATTATAAATTATGTTATAATGTAAAATTCAATGTTACATACGCTGTGTCAGATTTATATTTAGTTGATAAGTTGAAGTGTGCAAGATAACGTTTGATTCATATAGAACTTTAGTTGATTTTTTCCATGTTGTTCACAGTTAGCCTTTCGACAAAACAAAATTCTTGAAAAGATATTTCTCTAAGGAAAAATTATTACGCGTTTGTACGTCAATCCGGATGCACCACGTCATCCAATGCACAGTGAATTGGGTGACATGGCGCATCCGGATTGACTTTCGGATGCCGCACAGAATAATATATCTCTTCTCTAAGGACCTATTTGGTTGGAATTAAATGGATGTAAAGTAAATTAAATGAAGGAGTTTTGAAAACTTTAGATGACCTGAATTCGACTAAAAAAATTCAATTTCGGTTGATCTTTTTAATAAATGGGACGATTTTGGGTTAGATTTTTCAACCCATTTATTAAAGGGATTGGATTTAGGTTAACACGTAAACCAATTTTTTATTCGAAAATGACCCGTTTAATAATTTTTCTTTCTTTTTTTGAAATGTGGATATAATCTTGTTTTTTTATTAAATATTCTGAATTTTATATTTAATAAGTTATTAAAACATTTATTTATTTTGAGATTAATATAATATATGAATAATTAACCGATTGTTATACTTCTTTTATTTTTAAGAATATCTCATATTCTCATACTATTCTATACCGCTTTATATTATTATATAAATAATATTGGGCTCGGATTGGGTTGATCTTGGTGTCGTTGGGTTCGTATTTCCGAGACGCTCAATTTGGCTATAAGATCGCTGAAATCGGAGTTCAGATGCTCCCGGATTTAATTTTTGAAGTTTCCGAACTGATTTTGCCTCGAGATTCGTGCCCGATCAAGATAATTTTGTGATGACGTATCAAAGATAATAAAGAAATTACAGTTTATAATACATCCTTTTCATATTCTTAAAGAGTTGAATGACTATTTAATTATCAGTATAATCTAATATTTTTTCTCAATATAAGCAATTAATATATCATTCAGTCATTGATCTTTAATTCTATTTCACAACTGATTTTTCTATAATATTCATGGCATAAAATGCTCTTTCAACTCCTATTGTTGTAGCAGGGTAATACTAATGCTAATTTCAATAGTATGAAAATAAAAGGATATAGAATATTCTTAATTCCTACTTTGGATCATCGTCTCAGCAAAATTTCTTATATTTTTTAATGAAAAAAATTATTCATCATAGTGCATATCATAATATAAGTGCCCAACTGATTTTCAAAAATCGTCTAATCTGATTAGGAGTAAAATCAATTAGATAAAATTTCATTATTCTAATCAATTTGTCTTTATTAAATATATAAATTAGATGATACAGATCTTTCATGTACTAATTTTTATATAATAAATAATTAATAAGATGGGGTCATACTTAAGATATTGACACCTATATGTTAAGGCTACATTACTGATTTATTGATTGCATTTTATTGTGCTATTAATTTATGAATTTAAGTGTGTTGATTCTCACTTTTCTTTATTAATCATATTGAATCATAGAAGTGATGATTGAGCATTGATGATATTAAACATTATTAAGTCTATCGATTGAGACGAATATTCATATTGATTATTTAGATTTTGTATTGAAATCATTAGCGAGTTTTGGGTTCTTGTTAGGCTTTGCAAGCTCATTATGTGATTTTGCTAATTTCATATTAGGGAAGGGGTCAGAATTTTGTAGAGTGAGATTGATTGAGATCACTAGGCTCTTCTTTTAATTTTATTATATACTTTCTTTTACTCTTTTGTAATCATGAGCTATTCATAGATTATCAATTGTGAGTGATCTCATGAATATTATAACACAGCTCACATTGGCCTATTAGTTTGAGAGCTTATGCTTCAACTAAGAGGTCTTGGGTTCGAGTCTTTGTGTATGCGTGGTGTGTGTGAGTTTGCCTTAATTGGCCTAAATGTCCAAAAAAAATGAATATTATAAATATGATATTTTACGAGTACATGATTTCTTCTAACTTTTTGGGCCTCTTTTGCATTCTTAAAATAAAATGAATCCTAATTTCCCACTTGATCCCTTTTTGTTTGTACATCAATCTAATCATCTTCTTTTTTTCATATAAAAGCAATTGTAATGACTTTTATATGACCTCCTCAGGCAACATTTAGATCAAGTGGAATAAACCTTATATAGCATTTATACTATGTAGTCACCGAGCAAATGATCCATGGCACCTTGAATAAATAAGTGACAAAATATTTATTTAGCAGGTAGTCGGCGGGTCATGATAAGAAAACTCGTCCTCCAGGGAGTCCACAAAAGGAACTCACCTAGTGATCCAAGATGTACAACTCGCCTGGAACCCGTAGGAGAACTCGTTCAAAATGATCATCAAATGCTGCTCACTCAGGCCAACCATGGAACTGGAACCTTCTCTTTATAGGACAAATTAAGGATTTCCCACTAATCTAGCAACTCGACATGCACCCGTTACATGCCTAGAACACCATATTAGTCACTCACTATATGTCAAAGTCACCATTCTCACCGAGCTCAACTACACAAAAATGCCTACTCATTAGACCATCGTTTTTGAGTTCCCATGACCATCTGACCTATAGCTTTTGCCCTTCATGCGATAACATCTCACTCATCTCTCTCTTCCCAGGTGATCCAAGATCCCCCAGATAAGTCACCGGCTATATCAACAAGCTCACCAACCACTAATCCCCTTTCATCTACACATTCACCCACACAATCACCTCATCCACATGCTCTATTGAGCTTCCCAAGAGATCGATGATTTGCACTACTCTTAAGACCTTACCCTCTTTCAACAAATTAAGAGGTAACACGTGTTTAGGAAATCATGTAGTACTACTGTACACAAGTGTCATCCTCACGCAAGTTTTAGCCCACTCGTTCACCAAGTCGATCTACTAGTAAGCTCGAGTTCGATCCACAAACAAATTTGAATATAACATATAAAATCATTACATTTATTTTTCAATGGTCTAATATAATACTTTACATGAAATCATCATAAAATTTCATTTTATTTAAATGATAATGTCATTGCTAGAGGAGAGCATTGGGTGCTTTCTTGGTCTTCATAAATGAAGTCTGAAAGTTCTACCAGCTACTCGAAGTTGGATGCCTTCACATTTATAGTAAGCAGTTCAGGCCTTGCTTCCATATATATAAATATGTTAGGCTCACGTCTAATCATTAGACAGGCCATCACGTGCAGCCCAGCTGGCCCGAACTGACCTCATTTTGGGCCAGTTCTGGCTGACAATGAAACAGCGCTATTAGCTAGGAATTTTCAATAAAGATGCAATGTAGACCTCAATTACCTTTTAATTTTTTCAATTTTTTTTCAATTTATAAAAATAAAGTTCTAAATTTTAATAACATATTTTAGGATGATTTACATGCATGTTACATAATTTTTATGTATTTATATATTTAATATATTTTTTTTAATTTTTCTATCTGGCTTATATGTATTCTGGCTGACAAATTTTTTTTTAAATACTCACAAGGATAAGTTGCTCGTTTAATGGGCAACGGGAACCTTACGGGTACTACATATTCCCGTTACCCCTTCACATAACGGTCAGCCGAGTCACTTAAGTAAGTCCCCGTTTAACGGTAAGTCGCCCGTTGAACGGGCGACTTTCGAGTTTTAGGGCGACTTTTGCGAGTTTTAATTTTTTTTTTTTCGTTGGTTAATCGCTTAATTATAATTTAAATAATACTTAATTTAAAAAATTGCCCTAAAAAATTTGAATCTATTCATGTAAGAAAATCAAGAAGCCTCGGTGGCTTGAGGAACTTTACAACCTGTTGGACTTTATTTATGAGTGATTAATGGTTTGTTTGAAATTGCTGCATTTTTTTATAAATTTAATTGTGAAGTTATTGTTAAGAAAACAACTTTGTTATTCGAATTGTGAACATAATTTTTTGAAAAATAGTGATAAAACAAAAAATAAAATAAATAACTCTAACATACTCTAAATATTAATCACAATGAGTTATAAAATTTTGAGATTAACATAATTTAAGAATTGTTTCATTATTATTTACTTATAAAATTATGAATTTATTTGGGATAGCTTCTTTATTATTTTTTAAAATGACTTTTTAGTATAAATATTTTTTGAACTAAAATATTTTTATTAGAAAGTTATTTTTAAAAAGTAGTAAAAAACTTATCCCAAATAAAGCCTAAGAACTTTATAACTGGTATGATCAGAATATCAATACTTTTTTTCTTTTCTTTAATTTCCAAACTCATTTTTTTCTTTGTAATAATGTTCTTTTAAAAAAAGAAAATATCCAACTTATCAGAATAATAAAGGTAACAAGGATGATTAGTTAAAAAGGCTGTGGAAGAAAGTTGGTAAAAGAAGCGCCAAACGATAGAAAAAAAAGGTGGAAACAAAAAGTAGATTGAGAAGGTTATCACAAAACGGAGTAGAAAAGCTAGCATTAAGTTGGAAAAGAAATCAAGATGATAGAGCTAGAAGGGGATGATGAAGGCTATAAATCAAAATATCAAACATGCTTGCAAGTTATTCAAAGGATTTAGTCAATTTGGATTACCAAATACAACACAAAACTGGAAGACGGATTTATAGTCCATGCCAGCCACGATCCATAACTAATGAAGAAGCAATATTCAGGAAGCCAACTCCAAATATTTGTGATAATGCGGCCTCCAGTTCTCAACAAAATAGGAAGGATAAAGGGGGGAGAACCATGATGATGACGATAAAACCATGATGCAACTAATGAGAAGTGCTAAAAATTGAAAATGGTAATGAAATAATGAATAACATTGGATGACATAGCAATAGCATCATGTGACTTTAAATGACTAGATGTAGAAGCATAAATAGCGTCATATAAACACAGCTAGTATGGCAGGAAAACCAAATTTTTAAGTGAAGGTACCATAGTGGTAAATGGTCCAGCTATTTGTCAATAACTATGTAACATAAGAAATAAACTCTCTGATACAAGAGGGATTCGCGCACCTGCAATTGTAAAGCCTCTGAACGAGAACGTATTTTCAGTTTAGCGGGCCTAGCACTACCGAAATCCATCACTACGGCAAGAGGTGGCTGTCCCTTCCTATGTGTTATCAGAACGTTACCAGGTTTCACATCATTATGGGCATATGAAGGATCAAAACTGTGCATCTGCTTTAGTCCAGTACAGATCTGTTGTGGAGTTATCACATAAAAGGTTATGCAAAATTGCAGGAAATGAACCTCAAAACATGTGTGTGTGTGTGTGCATATTTATATAATATAAGTTTACTGACAAAAAAATGAAATGAGAGAGATCAAAATTTTAAAAAGGCAATATGTACATTGGGAGATCAGACGAAGATGCAGTTTCATCAACCTAGCTAAAAGGAACTAGGCTTCAATAAGTATATGAAATCTGTTATCACAGCAACGGTCAAAAACATATTCATAAAATGGGTAAAGCCTGCATAATCAAGAGAAAAAGGTATTTTGACTAAATTTAATAGCATGTTAGATGCTTCCTAGTAATTATAGGAGAAACAGAAACACAGCAACGGTCAAAAACATATTCATAAAATGGGTAAAGCCTGCATAATCAAGAGAAAAAGGTATTTTGACTAAATTTAATAGCATGTTAGATGCTTCCTAGTAATTATAGGAGAAACAGAAACTGGCATTGAACTGTGCCTTTCTTCTTAAGATGGAGAAATTTTTAATATATACAGATCGAAAGATAGAATTTTAAGCAGTTCATAAAAGAACAAACGGTAGGGAATTGTAAATACCAATTACCAACCTTTGCTTTTCAGTTATATGTAGGATTCAAGGTATATAGGCAGGAGAATCAAGAGTTATCTAAGATGAAACTTCCATGATTAATTATCACAAGAAAATGAAAAAAAAAATTGTCTGTTACAGTAATTGAAAATAATTCGATATTCAGGAAAAAATAGCAGTCCAGTATAGAATTGCTGCATTGGCAGTCTCCTAAAATAACTTGATATATTCCAATAGAGCACTAATGCTTGTATAAAGGTGAATATAAGAGGTATAATAGGATAAAATAACAGGAAAAATATCCTCAATTAAGAAAATATATTATAAATTAATGGCTGAATATAAAGGGTATAATAAAATCTCTACATTTAAATTCCAAATTAAAAAAATGATAGATTATTATAAATAAATGATTTCAAACAGCAAAGTGCTAAAATATTTTTACATGATTTGCAAGAATTCAATTGAGTTATTTTTGGCACCCAAAAATCTACAAGGTTATTTTTATAAACAGGAAGAAACAGAAACTAGAATAACATTAGATTTAGCAAAACTAATTATTGAGAAATGAGAGAACAAATAATTATATGAATGGAAAAATGAAAGCAAAAAAGCAAAAAATAAGGCTCTTTTATGCGGGTCAAGATACGAGTACCCTGGAATTACTTATCCCATAAGAATTCTTCGTTCCATTTAATGAATTCTTCTATTAGTTAAAGGAGAACAAAATCTCGATGCCAATCGTCAAAATTTCTATAACAGGCTATAACATCTTATTTGTTCTTTGTGCACACAATAGTTTTTAACAATATTTCAAAGGAAAAATAATGAAGTGCTAAAACAACGTTACAGCAATGTAAATAATTATGCATATATCATGCAGAACCTGTGTAATAAATAAAAAACATCTAAAAGATTACAAATTTGACTATATGGCTTCACCTGACGGAAAATTTGAAGAACAGTGAGCACTGAGAAGAATTCCTTTCTTGATTGCATAGCTTTGACATGATCAAGTAAAGTCCCATCCATATGAACTGGAAACAATAAATACGCTTCATGGTTCCACCTTCCTTCTTGTGGACCCTACATAAAAATGTAGATTCCACCATAATACTAGTTGATAGATCGTCCTAACCAAATTACTACATGAGGTGGATCACTTCTTTACTAGACATAGAAGTGTCATCGATAAAGCCTCAAAAACAATGATCCAATTTCTTAATTTTTCTCCCTGGCCATCAGTAGCAAGGAATGTTCATATAAATTTGGTGAAGGTGAGTTATAGTGATTCAAACATTCAACTTTTAGATATGCAAAATACTTGCTAATGTTCCTCAACAGTGAAACAATCCCTGCAAAGATTTCCCATAAAAACCATACAATTTTTCTTGATCATCAGGAATGGTGAATACAATCAACTGGATAAGAAATTAAGGTAAGTTAATATTAAATTAAATATTAGCATCCTGCTTTAAAATTTACTGTGGAATTTGAAAATCACTTCATGGACACAACTAGAAATTGCCAATAGTAGCATTCAAAAATATCATAACAGTCCAAAGAGACTTCCACATCTTGAGAATTATGGATGCAAATGAAATTCTTAACTTTTAATAACTAATTTGACTGAAGAGCATTCAAATTAAATGAAAATGCAAGCTAGGAGCCTAGGACACATTGAGATAAAAGCCACAAAATTTCACGAAATACATATATAGGTGGAGGGTTGGAGCAATAGTAAGAGCGACAACACTGAGCTGGATGTGATGGGCTCAAATCATCAAAACAACTCCTTTGTAGTATAGGGTAGAAGACTACATACATCAAACCCTACCAGTATCATAGCTCTAGAAACTTCATTCATTGAGTGTGTTCTCACATGCAGCTCACCTTGATCTATTGGGTGGGAGCTTTGTCTACCAATCAAAAGGTATTGGATTTAAAGCTTGCATATGTGAAGTGTGTATGAGTTTGACATCAAATAGCTCAAAGCCCCCCATAAAAAAGTGTGTTCTTGACGTAGGCAAAACTTGACTATAGGTGTTCCCCATGCTGATTTTTAATTCCCAAAAGCTGTCCCTTTGGTTGTCGTGTTGATGCTTCAATTTTCCCATCTTACTTGCTATTTATGCTTCGGTTTTCCACCACATTGGTTGCTGATTTTTCTTCAATTTTTGGGCATTTGTTTTTTGGCTGAAATTCTCATATTGAGCTTGGCCCATTTTCTCTTGGGTATTTTCCCATGCTTTGGTTGTTAGGATTCTGTGCTGGCTGTTGGTTTTCTGGTTGTTTGGTTCCTGGGTTGGCCGAGCCTCTCTCTTGGGTATTTTCCCATGATTTGGCTATTCGTATTCTGGGCTGGCTGTTGGTTTTCTGGTTGTTTGGTTCCTGGGCTGGCCGAGCCTCTCTCTTGGGTATTTTCCATAAATCTGGCTGCTCCTATAGGAGACTTGGGTGCAGCTTTTGCGGGAGCTGTTTGGATTCCTTTTCCCTATTTATAGGAGGGTTGTTTGCTGCTATAAAATTAGTTAGTGATAACAATTTTTGGAGCATGAAACCTACGGGTTTGGAATAGCTTGCGAGCTATTGTCTTCTACCTCCTTCTCTTCTTATAATTCGTCTCGGTCTCCAATATCTTTCTTCTCTCCACTGTATCCCTTCCAATTATATCATTCTTCTCTAAACTTTATTAATAGTAAGTTGGTTGTGTTGTTTACAAGTTGAAAGTAGTGTTGTATTTTTGTATTTGAAGTTGTTTTGTGTATGTTTAAGCTATATTGTAAGGAAGCCTTGTTTTTGGGCAATTTTGTAGTGTCTTAAGTTTGCAACCTTAGCATCTTATTTTTTGTTATTTTTGGTTGCACCAATTGGATATCAGAGCATCCAAGTTGTTGTGAGTGTCTCACTTTCTTTAAAAAAAAAAATAGAAAGTCAAAACAAACAACAAATTGAAGGTAATCAAGAAAGTCATCTAACTATGTCTTAGATTCCTGAGGACATGCTTCCAACAACAAAATGGGTTCCACCTGAAGCATATTCTTTTAATCCTCTACAAAACGAGCTTCTCAAGATTCAAAGACAATTGCATTTAAGTGTCGAGAGATTTGAAGCTAAGAAGCTTCAACTCCTGTCTGAATTTGAATGAGAAAAGGAGATAATCAAAAGAAAGTATGACATGTTATTCAAGAAGTAGAAGTGACGCCTTTGGAGCATCTTGGAAGTTTGAAGGCAATCTCATTAGGAGATGAGAATTCTTCCCATAGGGAGAATTGATGTAAGCAAAACTTGCCTATTGGGGTTCACCATGCTGATTTTTAATTCCCAAAAGCTGTCACTTTAGTTGTTGTGTTAATATTTCGATTTTCCCATCTTAGTTGCTATTTATGCTTCGGTTTTTCCCCACATTGGTTGCTGATTTTTCTTCGATTTTTGGGCATTTGTTGTTGGGCTGAAATTCTCCTATTGGGCTTGGCCCATTTTCTCTTGGGTATCTTCCTATGATTTGGCTGTTCGGATTCTGGGTTGGCTGTTGGTTTTCTAGCTGTTTGGTTCCTGGGCTGGCCGAGCTTCTCTCTTGGGTATTTCCCCATGATTTGGTTGTTTGAATTCTGGGCTGACTGTTAGTTTTCTGGCTGTTTGATTCCTGGGCTGGCCGAGCCTCTCTCTTGGGTATTTTCCCATGATTTGGTTGTTCGAATTCTGGGCTGACTGTTAGTTTTCTGGCTGTTTGGTTCCTGGGCTGGCCGAACCTCTCTTAGTTATTTTTAATAAATCTGGTTGCTCCTATTGGAGGCTTGGGCGGCACCTTTTGGGGGGCTGTTTGGATTCCTTTTTCTTATTTATAGGAGCGTTGTTTGCTGCTATAAAAATAGTTAGTGATGAAAATTTTTGGATCATGAAACCTGCGGGTTTGGAATAGCTTGCGAGTTGCGAGCTATTGTCTTCTACCTCTCTCTCTTCTTATAATTCGTATCGGTCTCCAATCTCTTTCTTCTCTCCGCGATATCCCTTCCAATTGTATCCTTCTTCTCTAAACTTTATTAATAGTAAGTTGGTTGTGTTGTTTACAAGTTGAAAGTAGTGTTGTATTTTTGTATTTGAATTTGTTTTGTATATGTTTAAGCTATATTGTAAAGAAGTCTTGTTTTTGGGCAATCTTGTAGTTTCTTGAGTTTGCAACCTTAGCAACTTATTTTTTCTTATTTTGGTTGCACCAATTCTCCCTCATATCCACACACACATACATGCATGCGAAATAATGATTAACATCATATTCAATAAATGGGTTATCCCTAATTTTGAACAATAATACAAAATTGGTATTAGCATTACCTTGACAGCAATAATAGCATGATCAAGGAGTGGAAGGAGGTTAGCATGGCCAAATAGTGACGAAACGTGTATCTCCTCCTTTACCAACGCTAATTGCTCTTCACTTTGAACTAGGACTTTCTTCAACGCATATGTCCCGTCATCTGAAGGAAAAAGATATAAATGTCACACGAAATTGACATATTTTTTATGAAACAGCCCAGCTCCTAAGACTATTTTCTACCATATGCCTGATCTATAAAAGCCAACATCACAAATTTTCACAAATTGCAATCATAATAATCCGGGGAAAAAGCAACAGCGCCGTTCAAATCAAGAACCAATGCCTAACTTCAATATGATAAATTAGCATGAGAACAGAGAACAAAACTCGACCTGAGACGTGTGTAGGGTTCTTCAATTTCTTCCCGGAAAGCCCTCCGCCGCCGGAGGCACCGTCCCTGACAACCTCCTTGACGAGATAAACGAATGCAAAGCCACCTTCTCCGAGCTGCTTCACAATCCTGAATCGGTTCTGATTGATCCACACGTCCCCGCCGCCATTAACGGCGTCGTATAGAGCATTCAACCCTGAGAACGAGCATCCCATCTCAGTCCTTCGCCAACAACCTCCGGTTTGTCTTCTCCGGAAGAGAGAGAGAGAGAGAGAGAGAGAGAGAGAGAGTAGTCCGCGTATAGATCTGTCAAGGCTTCTGCGTACGCTTGAGGAAATAGAAGTGAGTAAAAATAATGTTAAAAGTGATTAATTGGAATTTAAATTTTTAGCTTTAGGAAAATCGCTTTAAATTTGTCAAGCCATTTTTAATATATATATATATATTCTTCCTTCTTCCTTAAAAAATAAGAATATATCTGATACTGTCTTCAAAAAAATTTCTTGGTCAAGTGCGAATCTCGAGGCAAAATCAAGTTGGAAATTTTCAAAATTAAATTTGGGACCATCCGATCTCCAATTTCAGCTAACTTATAGTCGAACTGAACATATCGGAAATACGAACCCAAGGACACCAAATTCGACTCAACCCAAGCCCAAGAGATTCAAGAGAGATCGCTCTTGCCTACTCGCTCATCCTCGACCACCGCCGGAGTTCTGCTGGACCACCACCTGGGGCCCGGACTTCCGCCAGACTACCACCTGAGGCTCGGACTTCTACCAGACCATCACTTGACGTCCGGACTTCTGTCGTACCACCACTTGAGGCCCAAACTTCTGTCGGACCACCACCTGAGACTCGAACTTCTGTCAGGCCATCACATGATGCCCGGAGTACCGCCCTACTAAAATGGTCTTTGGACCCTTGTCTAATGCCGACTCGCCTACTACGGTTCTTCCGACCTACATCGTCAGACAACGGTCTTTCTGACCTCGGTCTCTTGCCGACTATGGTCCTTCCGACCTACATCGCCTGACAATGATCTTTCTAACCCCAGTCTACTACATACTACGATCTTCCTGACATCTATCCTATCAACTATGGTCCTGCCGACCAAACAAGCATGTCTATATTGATTATTGTAACTCCCACCATGTAATGCGCTCTATATGATGTAAATTTGTGACATCAAGCCAAGACCCTTCTCCCTAGGAAAGGCCTAATTTGTAATCGACTGCAAATACTTGTGGATTCATTCAAACTGGGCCAGACATCGTGATTTTTTCCCCTTTTCAGGGGTTTTCACGTAAAAAATCTAGTGTCTTATGAATGCTACACACTCTCTCTTATCTGCTTGTGTGTTGAATCTTCGTACAACTTTAAGACGCTAAACTTTATATTTCTCTACCACCGAGAATACTCCATGATGCAACAATATTAATTACAAAAAATTATAATTCACAATTAAATTAATTTTGATGACATATTAATTATTATTTTAAGTAATTTATTAAAGATAAATAACATTAAAAATCTCTTTCTATCCCTTTAACCCAAAAGGTGCTTAATTCATTAAAACGTATAGCCAACGTACTTTATTTAAATATTTCAAAAAAGATTATTTGTAAACATATTATACTTTAAATATTACATTTTTTATATTAAATTTCTGAATTTCTAAATATTATACTAAATATTATCAAAGTTTGAATATTCTATTAAATTATATATTTAATATGTTATATTGAAAACGTAACTTTAAATTTAATATTCCTAAAAAAACAAATTTTAATTTACATTTTCTATAACAAAATATGATTTGAAATCGAGTTTTTATCCCATTTTTTCACTAGAAAATGCAAAATAAAATTTGATTATCTAAGATAACTAAAATTCATTTTACATTTTCAGCAAAATCCAAACACTATTTTGCAAGTTTGATCTTTAAAAAAAAAATAATTACATTTTCTATACTTAAAAAATTTTGATCTTTTTAATTATCTTTAAAAAGAATCGCCATATTGATTAGAGGGCACGGTTTTCCATTGAATTGGATTTGACTTTTCAGACGAATTCCCCATTACTTTGCGGATCTGTACCAAATATTTGAAGAAAAATGATCGCAAATGGTGAAGGGGTCCGCTCAGCGATATCTTTTCCCAATTGCCATAGCTTGGTTTGGTACAGCTTTTTTAAAATTTTGCAAATTATTGTAAAAAATAATAATTTTTAAATTTTAATATAATATTTTTAAAAATAATTAATCAAATAAAAACTATAATTATAAATTTATAATACAAAAAATAACAAAAACTTGATTTTCATTTGAGATGACTTTCTTATTTCTTAAAGTAAATTTCTAATATAAAAATTAAAAAAGAAAAAAGCTTTTTAAAATTTCTTATATTAAAAAGCTTCTTTAAGGAGGCAATAAGAAAGTCGTCACATGGGAAGGCTTCGTTTGGAGCTGCTTTCCTCCTGATTAAAATAATTTTTTAATACAAATATTTTAACTTTTGTACTAAAAAATTATTTTAAAAAGCAATAAAAAAATTGCCCCAAACAAAACTTAGTTTAGAACAACTTCCTTACTACTTTTTACATCAATTTTTAATACCTAAGCTAAAAGCACCTCCTACAATTGAGAACTACAAAATTATTTAAATTAAAAAATTTTATGCTACAAAACTACTTTAAAAATAATTATAAAATGGTCGCAAGCAAAGCCACAGTCAAAGCCATAATGTGTCAGCATAGTGTCTAATAATATAGCTAAGAGGATACTTTTTCATAATAAGGCTTCATTTGATACGGCTTTCTTTCTGCTTTTTGAAGCAACTTTTTAGTACAATAATTAAAATTTATAAACTAAAAAACTGTTTTAAGAAGCAGAAAGAAAACCGTTCTGAACGAAGCCTAAGTCCTTCTCACTATCATTAGAGTAATTGTTTTGAGTAGCTTTAAAATATTTTGAAAAATTAAAGTTAAACTCAGAGAGTAGGTCTTATATAGATGTGTATTGCCTCTTATTGGTGAAAAAGATCCATCCTGAAAATGGCACACAAAGTTTTCACAATCTGATTACTAATTTTTTAACCAAAACAATAAGTATAACCCAAACAAAATCCACTCCGGCTTTGTTCACTGTTTTTCCTCAAACCCTTAGTAGGAAAGACAGTCCAAATAAAGATAGACGCTATTGGCATACAAAATTTGACAAGATAAATGATTGATAAATAAAACCTTTACAACGAAAAACAATAATTTATACTGAAAAGATGAAAATTTTACATTTAAACAAACACTAATAAAACCATTTCGAGAAGAGGCTCTCACTTCTTCACAACCTTTTTGACTGCAATCCTTTGGGCATGTGTCAAGTTCTGCACAAAATCGAGCAAAAGAGAAATATAAAACACAGCTCAACTTGATCTGTTAGTTCGGAGTTTGACTACTAATCAAGAAGTCTTAGATTTAAATTTTACGTATATGAAGTATATGTGTTGTTGTTGTTGTTGGCTCAAATGTCTCAATAAGAGAGAGAGAGACTATGAAAAAGGAAGGCACTATGTTACCTGGCAGAGATGGTCAAAAAGTGAGCTGTCCATGTCATGTAAGTTTAGAAAGAATTGAGTGAGAAAACCTGCAACTTTAGTCTGCCAGACTCAATTTTGTTAGTAATTTTACTAAGGAAAGCCATTTTCTAAATAGAAGGCATTTTCAGTGCAAACCTCATTTAGCGGATCATCTTTGACAAGCTCTTCTTCACTATTATCACCGTCACTCTTGAAAATATACAGATCAAAGTGAGTAACGAGCTAGCAGTACTAATGTTGAAAGAGCATGTGGAGTAGAAAAAAAGGTGAATTCAGTCACCACCGTACCTCATTAAAGACTTTAGCCATTGCATTAAGATGTTCAACTGAAGCGTTACGTTTTGAGGGGACATTTGATTGATATAATAGATCTTGTAGACCACAGCCATTGTTATCTAAGACTTCCTCCCAATCACTATCCTGTAGACAGTGGAAGAATTTCTATCAAAAACACTCTTTAGTTGTTCAGAAATACATAAAAACTTCTAACGGCTACCTCATCACTGCCACTGTCATCATCCAAAATTTGTTCTTGAGTCTCAACCAGTGCATCTGATAACAACGAAAATATCTGCAGAACATGCAGAATGGCAACTTACTAATTTTTACTCAACACGAAAGGAGGAAAACCATAAGAGACGGCAAGCATTATCCTTCTATTATGCATGGACTGCAATCCAATCATACACATCAGGTAAATCTTATATTTATTTTTACTCAACACGAGAAGGGGCGAGCCTAAAGGGGAAATTATTCTGTGCGGAGTCCGAATGTAGAGGACCTTCCAAATTACTGGACACACTGCGTACGCTCTGCTTATTTGTAGATACGCAGCAAATCCTCACAACTAATTATTTGCTGATTATTTACTGCGTATCTACAAATACGCAATATATAAATAGTAAATACGTAGAATTTACGCATAAGATACGCAGTAATCTGAAAGATTCTATATTCGGACTCCGCATAGAATAATTTCCCTGCCAAAAGCGACAGCAAACATTATCCTTTTATAAGGATAGGCAAGCATTAATTTTGCTGGAAGCATTTAACTCTTACCTTTGCATGAAGTGGAATTATAGTCCATTGGTCAGGAGCTAATTTAGCTTTAGAACGAGTAGTTATACCTGCATTCGACTGATTATTTCAAATAGATCAACTCAGGAACTTTTACAAATATTCACGTAAAAAGTTGAGTACTTCCAAAGAAAATGCATACCTTTATGAGATGACCGTTAACGTTAACTTTCACTAATTCCTCATGACGGGAGGATAGCAAAAGCGCTAGGGCAGTTGTTGTAACCTTGATCTGATATGCTCCCTGGATTTCGCCTACGTCAATTGTAGAACATCAATAAATGAGCTATAAAATGGATATAAAAAATATTGCAATTATTTTACCAGTACATTGCTTTTTTATTTGAAAACAACCTTTTTAGAATATAATAAGTTAACGAATTACAGGTTGGTAAAGCTACTCAATTTCAGTAAGAAGGTTAGGAAGTAGCAACAAAAATCTTCTAAAAAAAATACAATAAGCAAAAAATAGCATGATAATGGGATATTAAGCAGCTCACAAACCTCACAACCATTCAGTAGCAAAGCCAGAAATTTTTAAAGAGGAGGCCAACAAGGATTTAGCACTTATTGATGAGGACATCGACAAATGATATCGACGAATTTACCAGCGTAGGAATCGTAGATCGATGGCTACGATTCACAGTCTTTATTTTTGATGCATTTCATGGATGGTAGTTTATTTATTTACTAGATTACGTATTGGATGATGAATTATGAATGAAATTTCAGTTTTCTTTGCTTGATCTCTTAGTGAGTTCTGGAAAGATGAAACCCTAAGTGAGGGTGAGAGCAATACCGTCAACCTGTGGAGGATTCCAAGGTTCGCGGTTCCCCATCCTTTTTTTTCTTTCCCCTCCATTCACCCTCTCTCCCAACCCTTCCACCCACCGGCCTCCCTAACCCCACTCTCCTTCCTTTTCCCTAAGAACCGAGCCCCTCCCCACTCCGTCGCCCCCTTTGGCCGCCCAAATCCGCCGACCACAACCCACCCGGCTGCCAGCCTCCTCACCACCACAGCCCCTTTCCACTAGCCAAGCCGACGGCCCCTTCCATTACTCATAAATTTGAAATTCAAATTTCAAATGCTCTTATTCCCTTTCCTAAAATAGATTTTGGTTAATTAGGAAAGCCTCCTAATTGACATTCAATTAATTAATTGAATTCAAATACTTTCCTAAGGCTAGAATGTAAATTAGGAAACCTCCCTAATTTAAACAAATCTGAATTTAAATTCAAATTTGCTTCAAATCC